CTCATTCGTCCACTAAAACCTAATACTTGCTACAAGTAGCGGTTATTGGTACATCTGGGATCTGGTATTACAGTTACACTTAGTCTAAATGAACCGCTTACGTCTAAATAGGATCCCCCACGGCCAAAATGCTATAACCCGACCACCCTTCTTAAAATCCCATACAAAATCTTCCGACCGTACCTAATGCTCTTGCTAATCGCCGAATATCCGATAGAACCGACTCTTAATGGTCTCACGGCAGACTAGTACGGCATTGTTTCACCCCAGTACAAGTATAAATCGTGTGATGGAACCTTTGTAAGTTCATTTGACTCCCGAAGGTAACAACTATGAGATATCCCGGGCGTTTAATCGTTCCTTGGACTCACTAGCCATTTCCATTTGCCTATTATCTACATGACTATAGTGGCTATCAACGACTTTCTACCGATTCTACCTATCCTCCCCTAAATACTTCTTAACACTGGATAGGGGATTGAAGGATTGGGTTAGTTTAAGTTGCTGCTGGCTTGGATCAGTCACAGGTAACTTGGCATTCTTCATAGTATCGTCTCCCTCGTTAAAGTTAATGAAACTTATTAATACCATCGTATTTATCATAATTTAAAGTTTAATAAAAGTTCATGTAGGCATAAAAACTGCGCGAAACCGGGGACTCGTACAAGTTGACTATCACTGATGCAATAGTTCCCCCTCTCACAGAGTCCTATACAAGTTCATTTGCAAGTGTGTTAACGGTACAGATTCTAATAATTCATTTTCTAAGACACACTCGGAACTACACATATTGTTCTAAGAGACGTCATTCGTGCGTGGGATGGCGGTCAAGGTCTATGTTTGCTCTCGATTCAGGTGGTGGCAATCCACCGTGTAGCAGTAGTAAATTTTGGGTGAAACGAATTGCCTTTCCCACCCAATCTGAATCCAGATTTAACGAGAATTGCCGGGAGGCCGCATGGAATATTTATCTTCATTCGGGCCTTGAAGGTTTAGTTCCTCCATCGTGCACATATCGCAAACACGAAAGGAAATCCGATGTTCGGTGATAAACTCCCATGTTTCACTTCATAGACATGAAGTGGCCTAACATCATACTGCATTAAATATTTCCTCTGTAGTCTACCGTTTAATAAATCTTCCCTAGGTTGTGATAAGTAAAGCTGTAGGACTCGTGAATACGAAATCAATCTTCTCCTAAGCAAACAATCGAGTGACCCCCACTCATTCCTATCCTGTAGGCACGTCGCTTCTCTTTGCTTTCGATCAGGGCCTTACTTCATCAGTAAGACCCCGAGGGGTTGTAGATCAGCGGCCGGGATAATGCGTGGGTATCATCGGCCCCCCGGGTAGTAATCCCGGGTGCAAGAGCCCGAGCGAGGAACCAATGTAGACATGAGTTCTAAGATGTCCAACAAGCCCTTGGCTTAATGGTAGTGGACACTAGTTCCAGGATAGAGCCTGTATTTATAGTTGTAAGCTGAAGTATAGATCTGTTGACACACCTTAACGAAAATAGACGAACTTTAACCAAATATGAGCTGGTACACTCGCCCCTGACTATAAGAAATTCAGAAAACACAAATATCTAGATGGAATGAGCAAAGCTCTTTATATAGAAACTGAAAAGAGCAATTTTATGTTCTAGAATACATAGGCTCACGGTTGCATGAGCAAAAAAGTACGAATCTGCTCGAATCAGGAAACAAGCTACGTCCGGGCGAATGAAATATGGAGTCATTCGCATGATGGAGTGATCAGACAAGGTATGAGCGTGACGCAGTCCTCCCTATCATCCACTTAAATCCACAATACGCTCCCAGAAGTTTGAGCTGTGTAATACAACGTAGTAGTTTGTAAGTATGTCATTTAATTCGGTATATGTGAAGACGAGTCCATTACCCAACTGTAGGCCCCGGAGCTCTTTCCATTCAACGATGTAACGAGGGCATACGCATCCGTCCAGGTGTCCACAGGCAGGCCAAACAATCTCATTATATTAAGTCGATGTGTTTTAAGACGTGGTTCTCTTGGAGCAAACGGTATTAGAGGGTAACGAAAGCTACGATACATAGATTCGAAACTCAGGGGGGGCGAGGACAATGGAAGTGTGATAATCTAGTTGCAGAATACATAACAGCCGTTCTCAATATAATATAAGTCTGTCTAATATCCTTCCATAGGGCGATTCGTGTGTTTAACTTCAAGTTGAACCGGTATCGGGAGGCTTTACATACCTTGAGTTTCATGCGAGAAGCCGCACGGGGAAGCATCACATAGCATCCGACTTCCAATTAGTGAAACCAATCATGCGTCCTCGCATCTCACAGATGTTCCACAATCACATGTAAGAGGCTACAATGAGTAATCCTAGCCATGAATGGCGGCTATTTCCTAACGTCTTGTGGAAGTCCTTCCCCGTCATCTCTAACTACCGTGGTTGAGATATGATATAGAAGGTGGTGATATATCACATACATGATGACCTCTTTGGGGATCCGTTTATCCGCAACTAAAGGAGAAGACGAACTACATCAAAGTATACCTCCTAAGGAAGGATTTATATACACAAATTGTCAATGATAATCTTCAAGGAGTATCCATCCCGTATTTTGTGCCCCCGCCAAGCTAGGTAATGTGTGGTTATCTTAGAGCAGGCAACCGAGTCAAAATAACCGGAAATGCATCTGTTTGGTTACCGACTAGATTCCCCGTCAACTGCATTACTAGGAGTTTCATCCGAGACTTGATTCGTATCTTTAACACCTTGAATGTCTTGCACTTGGACTTCTGTAGCCAGACCGCTATTGTCAACCTTTTCTCCGGATTCTCCTTCTCCTTGCTGCGGTCCTGGGTTCTTCTCTACGTCTTTTTGCTTCTTTTTCCGGTTATGATTGACCCCCAGGAATATGACATCGTATAAGCGTTTGAGTATTTCCTTCAACTCGTCCACAATTGATTTTATGCCTGCAGCGAGAATTCCGATAGCTATCGGCCCGAAGACCAATACGAGTGTTCCATAGCCGAGGATGCTAGCTCCAAGGACGACGTCTTTGAACATTCCCACGATGAAGGATGACAGAACAAGAGCCCCAAAGGTTATGAGTATGAGAGCGAATGAGCTTAAAAGAAGTCGTCGTCCAAATTGTCTGTACATCTTGAACTTCAGTAGCCTACTTTCGAGCTCCTTTACATTCGCCAAGATAAACATAGCACCGAGGAAGAGCACAACAATAGTCGCCAGTAGTACTACGACGCCGAAGAAGTCGTATAGCAAAGTCCCCAAGTCTTTGAATCTTGATTGCATACTGAGTACACCCGCGGCAAGTGATAGGGGCAGAAAAATGGTAGCCAGAAGCGTCAAATTCTGAACATTGCCGGACTGATTTAACTCTCGAGCCATACTCAGGAACTTGAGGCTGTGTTCTAATCCATCGGAGAACCTAGTTAGGCGTAGCTTAACGTCTTTGCAGCAACCCCGGAGAATCTTGTCAAGTACTAAGAGCCCGGTCCTTTGGTCGTCGTTTTCTTTTTCTGTTATACCCATGACCATGTCAAGTAACGACTCTATCGTAGCTACTAGTTCACTCCCACAATCTGAGAATTCCCGATAGAGTTGGGAGTCGCTCATAATTGCTTCTAGTTGCCACCGTCGAAGCCCAGATAAGCGAGGATCGAAGTCCCGGCTGCGGCGATCGGTATAAGTTATTACCATTAACTCCAGGAAATTGGTGAATATATTTAGAGCGGCGTGTTGGCATTGCAAAAGAAATAGAGGCCTCTGGTTTTCCCTTGTTCTTAGATTGCAATATAAGTCATCAAGTTTTATGAGTTCTGATGCAAACCGTTCCGTGGCAATATGAGAGCGGTCGGGATGCCTTGCAAAATATTTACGAACTGATGTGGATGTAATAATTCCGCATGAGATTGAAACTTTAGAGTATTAATTTGAGGCAAATTTGAAGTATATGGGGTTATGGTATTATTACCTCTCAAGTTCCCATCTCCAATAGCTATACAGCGTATGGCCCGAACCGCCCGACCCCATTTTCTATCGGGGCCTTTAACAAACTTCCTTAAGTCTTTAATATAGGGCCGTAACTTTTTGTTATTTTTATCGGAACCGCGAGATTCGTCAGTGTCAAGGAAATCATAACCTTCTAGTCGGTACCACGATTCCAGATTGTTGTTCCACAACCCCGACACAAGCGCAGAGAAGCCTCTTTTTGAATCTCGGGCTATATCATATGATTCATCAATTTCGACTGAAATACTAGTCCCATCTGATCCTTGGGTTACCCATTCTTTATTGAAGCCACGGCGTGAGGGTTCAAACAATTCTGCCTCATCATTGTCTAAACGAGAAGTTGGGAAAAGGGGGATACCAGGGATGAAGAAAACGAGGATAGAGAGGACATCCATTTTCTTAGCTTTGGTTTAGGAGATGTATGTGACAATTTTCACATGGAATCTCAGCCTCAAGTAAGCCCTGAGAGCAGGGGTGGTTTAATAGACCTATCAGATAATTGATAAAGCTGAAAACATGCATACAACAATATATGTACTCTACACATATTTAGACAATTAATAAGAGAATCAGTATATCTACCTCCTAGATATAACGCTACCTCGCCAACATTATCTAAATAAAAAAGAATCAAATACATTACAGACTTAATATGTGATTACTAAAGAAAATACAGAAAAAAATACATACCTTAGAAGTAGCGAAGTTATCTAATGTTGGATCTATGTATATGTCTTATCGATAATCGATAACAGCATGATCAGTTTTATCTCCAAGCAGATCTCCACTAACCGCTCTCACTGACGTAGCAGCACGTACAACTACGTTCCTATCTTAGATACGAAATACCCAAGCTTATCAACCCAGAATTTCTAGCCTTAGTCCAGTCTCTTCCCGATATTCAGTCTTCTTTTTTTTTTATATACTCCCCGCGGCTCTACGACAACATCCCACAGCACGCCCCCTCCCCTCGATGACCCTCAACGCTGGCCTGCGCATCGCGCGCGTCCACTCTCCGTTCCTTAGACCCAATGGGTCGTCATATACCCTCGCTTCTCGAGTCGCTACGAGCCGTACCTCCAAGCAATGGCAGATAATATCCCGGACAGGCCCATGCCGTGCCGCATCGACAGCTTCGCAAGTGAAAGAAGTACCTAAATCGACATCTGAAGTCGTCTCCTCAGAGCGCTTGACATCTCCCCTCCCCGCCTCGACAACCCTCAACCCACCAGCCTCGACTCGCCCGCCTCCTCTCGATACACCGACCCGAGACCCCTCGTCCTCGATATTCACGTACTTCTACCACCTCGGCAAGGCATACATGACCTTCTACAAGACCGGACTCCGCGCCATCTTCACCAACAGAAAGCTTCTCTCGCAATCCCCCACCGCCTCCACCCCATCCCCTCCCATCCCCGGCTCGATATCCTTCCCAACGCGGTCCGAAGTCCTCCTGCGGCGCCGCGTACGCCACGATCTCTCGCGCCTCCCCATCTTCGGGGTCCTACTCATCGTGTGCGGGGAACTAACCCCGCTCGTGGTGCTGCTGTTCCCGCGCCTCACGCCGCTTACCTGCCGCATCCCCAAGCAGGCTGATGCTCTACGGCGCATCTCCGAGACCAGACGGGACGCCAGCTTCCGCGGCTTGCGCTACCGGCCCGACCCATTAAAGGGCAACGAACCGGCCAGCAACGGCCACATATGCCGGAGTCTCGGGCTGACGAGCTCCCTGTGGGATAAGATCGGTCTGGATGGCCCGTTCGCGGCGTCGTTGACGCAGCGAGCCATTGCGCGGATCGCGGCTGATGATGCTATGCTGCGCGAGGGTGGAGGTGTAGAGGCTCTTGTTGACGAGGAGGTCTTGCTTGCGTGCGAAGACCGGGGTATCGATGTTCTAGGGAAGCCGGTGGACGAGTTGAGAAGTCGACTAGAGGAATGGCTCCGCAAGACTACTCCTGAGGGGGTGGCCTCAGCAAAGTCAGATTCTGCTTTGGAAGAGTCGGTCTTGAAGAGAGCTGAGGAGAAGATAAGGGAGACATTAGTTAGCTTAGATGGGAGGGTGTAAAAACCATATGCCTATGAAGTGTTTGGTTTATGGATATGTCCTACTTTGCCTAGCTCATCAATGACCCCATACTCTTGTCATGCTTCAAGGTCATGTATATTTATATATTTATACCGGGCGTATAAAAAAGGCAAAAGGCACAGACAAAATCTAGCTCATTAAAAGCACTGTACAATATACAACAATCAGCTCAATTCGGCAAACGTTGTCATCATAACGTTTATGTTCATGTCGTGAACAAAAGCTATCTTCTTTTCTAATGCATACAAAGCGTCAACACATAGTCCATAAATCCCATCGATGCATCCATCTACTCTGCACATAATGGCAAGATGCTAAACGGGATTGACTAATGACTCCTCCCAGGATATATACAGTGGTAATTAGCTCACTGCCGGTATCTCGCCAGCTGTGCCATGATGTTTTGGACGTGCTGTGAAGAATCGCCACCGGGAGCACCGTTCGGATGCACAGGCGGATAACCTGCGTTGTGAGGCTGGTTATGTCCAGCAGTGCCCATGTTATGGGCTCCTCCCAAACTTGCCATTACCGAATTCACATCAACAGGCGCACCTCCAGCCGATTGCCCAGGATGATAACCCTGTGGAGCACCTTGTTGGTTGTGGAGAGATCCTAGGATCTTTTGCAATGTGGCATTATCTAATGAGCCACTTGGATTACCAGTTGGAACATTAGCGGGAGGATAGGGCTGGGCAGCATATGACGGAGGCAGGTAAGGCGGTTGCGGGGGTTGTGCATATTGGATAGGCGGATATTGAACGCCGTAAGTGTTGTGTGGTTGAACTTGAGATTTGGCTCGACAGACTAGCTGCGCAGCAACGTTGGGATCGAGTTCCTGGTATTGATCATACTGGACACTGGCGTGTCCAGCGGAGCGATTGAATACTTGCATAGAGATAGCACCAGTTTGTTGTGCTCGATAATCCAGTTCGACGACCGCATGGACGCCTTCCATCACTTGACGCTGGATCACAGCTTCTCGAGTTAAATGAGGATGAAGGAACATAACCTGCACCCTTAAACCCTGGTTGAGAAAGGCTCTCTCGGTCCAGCTTATAAAATCTCTGTCGACCTCATGGAGTAGTATAAACTGCACATCTGGAATATCACCACCATATCGACGAGGAATATCGAGCTCTACTTCAGATAGAGGTCGACGATAGGGACTAGGACTTCGGCGACGGTAGTGACCCGAGTCGCGTCTTCCATAACCAGGAGATCTTGATCGCGCACGGGTGTTATAGTCGTCATGATAACCGCGGCTACCATCAAAAGAAGTCTGCTGTCGGTGGCTTCCCCGCCTCGGCGATGGCTGCCGACCTGGGCGATAATCATCACGTCGCCCGCGTCCACTGTCGTGGCGTTCGTTTTCTTTCTTAACCCTGTTTCCTCGCCTCTCTCCATCTCCTTCCTTCTTTTGGGTGCGGGAGAATTCAAGATCTATAATTTTATTAGCACCTAACAGATCGTTCCAACTCGGCCGGGGGGACTCACGAATTTTACGACCCCTTACTTCTATCCCTTGTAGGTGATCCATAGCAGCCTGACCTTCCTCTAAAGTGTGATATTGTACGAAACCGTACGCCTGTTTGAGAGAAATTTGTGCGAGGCGTCCATATTGGGAGAATATATCGAAGACTTCCTTCTTGGAGACCCGGTCACTAGATAGATTTCCTATATAACTGTTAGGATTCAACCCATTGCGATTAGGTTATGAAGACATGCCAATAAATAATCTTGATCCTTCTGGGAAACGGTCCCATTTGGCTTCTGATACGTAACGACGTTCTTCCTGGAGAAAGGCTTCCCATTGTGGGTAGTGGTCAGAAGCATGCGATGGAGTACCTGTAGCGGCAGCATAAGCAGGGTCAAATTGGGGTACCGGGAACGAATGAACTGGCAAGGCATTAATAGATGAGGCTGGAGGGGGTGGAAGGCTATTACGGGCTTCTAGAGCCGTTCCGGGAGCCCCAGTAGAATATGTGCCAGGAGGGGGTGGAAGGGTAGATAGCGCGTTGGCATTAGGATAGGATAATCCTGATTGGTAATTGAGACTATCATCAGGATGCACATATGGCTGGGCAGGGAACTGCGGCATTGGGGGTCTAGGTGGCAATGATACTGCTTGCGGGGGAGCAGAAATGTTGGCAGCAGAACTCTGCGGAACCGCTGTTTGACTGGCATTACCCACGGACGAATTTCCTATAATCTTATCGAGCATGTTTTGAATGTCTTGCTCATTATTGGCAGCATTTGATGGGCGATCATCCTCCCCAGCGGGCGCTGCTGAAGGTGGCTGAGGTACATCGGAATCGTCCGTTGACGAATTAATTACAGCCTGTTCTTGTGGCTTTTGCGGCTCTTGGGCTCCTGATGGGCTCAGGTTTAGGGCGGGCTGATGCACGGACTGAGCAGGGCTTGAGGAAGAGAGGTCATATGAAGGAGCGGCGACTTCAGAACCATTTGTCAAGGAATCAGACGTAACAGAACTAATACTGGATTCGATCGTGTTGGATACATCTTGCTGGACCTCAGCACCATTCTGCTGACTAGGATGCTGGGCGTCTCTTTCACCTCCGAGCCATGCAGCTCCTTCACCCTGATTCCCAGCGCCGTTAATATCATCGGCGAAACTGTCCCGACGTGAAATAGTAGCGTCGGCACTGTAAGTATTATTTTGACTGGTGCTGGCAGGAAAATTGTTCTGATATGGTGCTTCAACTTGTTCCACGGCTGCTACAGAGGCGGAGGGGACCTGACTGTTGTTGGAGAGCGACATTGTGCACAGCGTGTCAGCCTGGTCTTGCAGGCTAGGTACTACTACAGGAGAGGACAGATGAAGAGGTGCCGGAGATACTGGAGTAAGGTCGGCAGTTGCCAAATGGGTAGGGGCCTTCTCGATCATTCAGGTAGCATGAGGCGATAAGATAGTCTAGAGAATGCTGTTTTATAATCAAGATATGGCACCAGGGTTGTGAGCCTTGGAACTAAGCCCGACCGCCGTCAGAGCTGGTTAGATGAGTCCAAGAAACTCCGGAATAGGAATGGAGATATATTGGATAGCTGATGACGTCGTCTTAGGGTTGATCCATCCAAGGTGGTGGGCTATCAACGTTGGCAGAGGTCACGGTAACTGGATCAATGGGCAGCTTAAGACTCAGCTGGTAAGAAAGGAAGACGGTGGATGAAATAGGTAAATATTAGATGAAGGACGTTGGTTTGGTGGTGAGTTGGGTATGTAAGTGTGTAGACGGTGAAAGGCAATGTTACACTTGGAATAAGTGTAGAAGAAATAATGCCAAGGTCCGTCTAATTTTTATTGTCGCGTGTGAGGTCTGTTAGTTTTTTTGATGTTGTGATGGGTGATGGGTGATGGGTGATGGATGTCAAGATGTTACCAAGGCATCAAGAATCGACTGCGATTAATGACACAATAACATCCAATTGACACCAAAAATTAGAATTATCAGAGAGGATTCGACTGTGCAAGCAATCAATGAATTGGGTAACAAGCTTAAAAAGCTGGGAGGGGTGCGCTTGCGTTTGAGGCTTTGCAAACAGACAAGGCTGGACAGCTTTGAGCTTTGAGCTTTAATAATTTAACAATGAGAGGGCAGGAAATTTTCTAAAAAGGAATTGTCCTCTAGTAAAACTTGGACAGAAGCATCAACTCTGTTCTTGCCATTGGTCCATTTAGCGTTAGTCGTGATCCGTGCGTTACTTAGTGAGTTAGTGAGCCCCGCTACAGTTCTTCTGAAGAATCTCCACTAATTACTTCGCTTAAATAGATATATGATACGTATATGTACCTAACCTACATATGTAGCCTAGTGAGTGGTATGACGTAGGAGCTACTCCCCCTTTTTGCTACTTGAATATTCAACAACATTTCAACTATCGAACTTGGTAATTCATTATTAATACTGTTAAACAGTTCACGATCACACTCAATTTTCTATATTTTATTAACTTAGTTCAATTGACTGTAGAAAATGCCATCTTAGCTTCTAACAAGGTCACCAATAAGAAGGGTTATTATGTGATAACCCTCATCATCGATACCTTCACAGTCGCAAGGGCTTCTCAGCCAGTCAATTATTTTAATCAGACTACCTAATATTATAGAGCTATATAATAATTACCTCTATTTAGATCTAGAATAATATGATGATGCTAATCACACATTAGCAAGCCCTTTAATCAAAGGTTTATCAAAAAAGAAGCGGGAAGGATCCAGAAGCAGAGATCGTACTACCTCTTTAACAACATTCTAATTTTAACACATCAAGGCTCCAATATATTTTGAACTATACATATACTCAAGCAAGGTGTTGATCGATTCAAACTTTCAGTTGCAATATCCCTTCGTAGTTATAGTTTATTTACTCCGCATAGCCCCCCAGTATCCTACCCCTTACATACAGCATTAGCGGGGGCCTTTGTCCAGCATGATCTAACATATAAGTTTTTTCTACCCTTAAACCCCCAAATATTTTTACTATCTCACTTCCAACAAAGGCAATAACAGTGACGGCACCTATTCCAGATTTGTAGCTTATTAAAGCCATTTACATAGTCCAACATGCCTACCGTTATACTCCCTTCCAAGCCAGACGCCCCTATTGCCTATGAGCTTTACCAAGGCGATATAGCAAGCAATCTTCTTGTGGTCTGCTTGAACGGCCTTGGAATGACACAGGCTGGTTGGAAACCCACTATTAAACTTATACGCAAATCTGGCTTCTCTCCTATGCCATGGATACTTACGTATGATCGATTTGGCCAGGGTGCCTCTGCAAGAGATCCGCGCGAAAGCTGGCCGAACAAGGATCCCGGATACGCACACACTCTAGACGATGTCACCGATGATCTCCACGAGTTGATTCAAACTCGATGTCCCGATCGCTCCTCACGTATTGTTTTTATGAATCACAGCATAGGAGCACATATTGCGCGGAGATATGCTGACAGGTAATACACGACATGCTTACATCTTTCTGCTAGCCTTGTAGTTGACAACATATGTCTGAGCTAGGTATCCTAGAGTTGTCGAAGGAATCATATTCCTTGATTCCAACCCTGGAAATACTGACTACGAAAGCACCTGGCCGAATCCGAAGGACCCGTCCTTTAATCTAGAACAGATGACCCCCCCTGGCACCTCGCTTGATGAATATGAAGCTGCTTACAGCAAGATGATAACGATATTCTCAGCAAGCGCGAAGAACAATGAGGGATTTGATCGACGGGATATCAAGAATATTCTTCCCGATCCATCGATGCCAAAGCTTAAGGGGTCGAAGTATTTGGATAAAGGTCCTTGGGTGACAGTCGTAGTCCACGAGCTCGAACAATTCTCGCAGGAAGAGTGGGATACGATGAAGATACCCTTGGACATGGCTGCTATGTATACTCAGCCGTAAGTGAAAGATTATTCCCCAATGGAACATTTGGCTAACAAGAAACAGTATGTGGGAAAAGTATAATGAGGGACTCTGTAGGCTGACTGATCTAGAAAGAGCCAAAGGGCCACTTATCGCACCAAAGTCTGGACACTTTATCCAAAAGGACAATCCATCTTTCGTCGCTAAGCAGTTAGAGGACCTTCTTAAAAAGGTCGAAAGTTCTAGCTTACTTCCTCGATAGGTATCTTACTAGAATCTAAGGGCTTCCACGATAGCACTTTAACCGGAATGGAAATCATAAATATCTATACTTTATATTGTAAACCAGTTAAATGTAGCTCCATAAAGTCCATCCTCATCAATTCTCTCATGTTAGGCCATTATCAATCTTCTCCTAGTAAATATGCCGATATATGAAGAAGCTAGATATGGACAAGCCTACGGCTCCTTTAACTACTACCGTTGTCCCTTATCTATATTTCATGTGATAAATTACTCGCGATACATGTAGGATAACTAATTCCTATCCAAGCTCATATCGCTATCATCTTAATATCTTCTACGAAAATTATATGTATCTTAATGTCTATTGTTAAGACGGTAGTAACTATCACTTTCTATGCTGGCTGCAAGCCGGCCGAAATATCATGAAACCGTAATGAAAAATTCCTATAGAATTATAAGAAATAAACTAGAATGTTTGTCTATTTTCAGAGAGCCTTTACAGGTAGTCTGACTGTTTTTGACTTTTTGATTTTTCTATCTTCTTTTTGTAGGTACGCTTGAATCGTCACTGGAAAAGTAGGATAGAGTTATAATTTACAAAATATGTTATGCTATGCAATGGTAATCTTAAGAAATAAATTTAAGCTGAATTAAAACAATTACTTGAGAGGTAAGTTTACTAAGATTATAGTTGTATTATTTAGCAGTCGAAGTCATATCTTGCTATTGACATGAATAGGGGGCAACGCTGACCCACATTTATTTAGAACAAGTACCTAGGTACCAATATGTAATAACTCACAATTGAGAAAGTTCAAGAGGCTTTTGATCTAACAGCATCGACAGGTATTAAGACAACTCATATATAAAAATTCCACACTTGATGGCTATACTACGAACTATATCAAGCAATTTTACCCTATCTCTCAGGTTCAGGACTTTCAACAAAGCACATTGCCTTGTACGCACTATACAACACAGAGCATATGATGCTGCATTCAACCAAGATGACCTCACCGAAGCTAGAAAGTGGTATGCCTCGTTCACCGAAAATAACTTGCCAAAGGGTCAGACAAGTTACTCTAGGTCAAGCGGGCCTGGGGGCCAGCATGTAAACAAGTGAGTACACCTGATAAGTGAATTTCTTCGAAGTTATTCTAATTTGAATAGAACCGAGAGCAAAGCTACAACAGTGTGGTCAATCGAGGAGTTGTCTAGAGGCTTGCCAAAACTCATTCGTTTGGCATTGCGCTCTTCAAAGTACTATTCAAAAAGGAACGACTCCATCACAATTCAAGCTCAAACTCAACGGAGCAGATCTGCCAATACTGATGATAACCACTTGAAATTGGTAGAAGAACTGCGGAAGATTTATGGGGAACAAGTCCCGGGAACGACCAGCAGCGAAAAGATTAAGAAATACGAGGCCTTGTAAGTTGGTCCTCTTACCTATTTCTAAGACTTCTCCTTGCGTGCTATCACTGATGCGTGCGGATTAGAGAGAAGTCAGCTCGCGAGAGCAGACTTAGATCAAAGAAAGAGCAAAGTTCTAAAAAGGCATTTCGGAAAGGCAGAGGAGTTGATGAGTAAATGTGATGTAGGAATTCCTTCACCTTGAGGGACTTTAACACAGCGGAGTATGTACCCTGGGCGTTTATTGTTAATGAGCGAGAATTATGTGGGCGGCTTAAAGTTGCTTACTGCTAATCGCCGACTCCGAAAAAATCGACAAGGAATAGTTCATATGTAACGAGGGGAAAATATTTAAGCAAACGTCTATAAAATCTGAGTACTCGTGGTGGCATCATAAAAATGTATATTATATGATTCTATTACACACTACGATATAGCGATATTTGCATAGGAAAAATCTAATAGAAAACATGTGATTAATTATATGAAGTAAGAAGTTTCCCCCCTATCTCTTTTATCCCTTCCCCCCCACCGTAGCAAGCAACGCACCTATTTCTTTACGGCTGACTAAAACGCCAAGAAGGAGGGGCATAAAAGTGGGACAACAGCTGAGTCCCTTTTTCCGTCTAATCGTCTCAGCTTTCCTCATTTCGCAAAACACAACATCTGTCAACTACCCTTAAAGACACCTAAAATACTCCCTAAGATTGGAAGTTATTATAAAGGCTTTGTACTTCCCAACACGTATCAGTGTTCTACTGCTACGTGCGTTACGATTAGAAGCCAGCGGATTTGCGCCCAGCCCCTCCCGATTGGATCGACGGCGCACATCCGCCCCGAGGCTAATTCGATTTGGTCTCTCATCGGAGCCTTCTCTCGTATTGTTAACCCGTCTGGCTTATTCTCTTAAGTCAAGTCGACAGATTATCTTCTCCTTTTATAACAAAGTGCTCATTAAATTATAAGTTATTCGAAATATGCGCGACTAACTTATTGTTATCTTTAAATGACGATAACCACCCCTTGATCGACATTCCGCATCCACCGAATCTGTTCTACTTACAAGCAAGACCCTGCATTACTCTACCCTAATAACTTCGTCCTACGTTTCTACCATCCAAGCATATATATCGCTCATAAGGCCTCTTCTAGTTTTTATAGTTACGGGTCTACCTCTCCCATCACTTATAATGGCTGCCACCGCCGCGTCTGTTCCGAGTAACGGCTCTCCTCGTCCGAATCCCCAAATACAGCCATGTAGATACAAGGTGGGAAAGACGTTGGGCGCGGGCTCATATTCCGTTGTAAAGGAGTGTGTACACATTGATACCGGTCGTTACTATGCCGCAAAGGTCATTAACAAGAGACTAATGGCTGGTCGCGAACATATGGTGCGTCCTATTTCTTCTTAGATTGCATCTTGGTTTCTACATGGTCTCGGAACGGCGCGTGAAGATTAACCTTATACACTGCACTAGGTTCGAAATGAGATTGCCGTCCTTAAAAAAGTCTCGATGGGTCATCAAAACATCCTGACCCTCGTCGACTACTTCGAGACGATGAACAATCTTTACCTTGTAACTGATCTCGCGCTCGGCGGGGAGCTCTTCGATCGGATCTGCCGCAAAGGATCGTATTATGAATCTGATGCTGCCGACTTGATTCGCGCGACACTATCTGCCGTTGCGTATCTCCACGACCACGGAATCGTACATCGTGATCTTAAGCCCGAGAACCTACTCTTCCGTACCCCCGAAGATAACGCCGACCTTCTTATTGCCGATTTTGGCCTGTCGCGTATTATGGATGAAGAGCAATTCCACGTGTTGACGACGACTTGCGGTACCCCGGGATACATGGCGCCCGAGATCTTCAAGAAGACGGGCCACGGCAAACCAGTTGATATATGGGCCATGGGGGTTATTACGTACTTTTTACTGTGCGGATACACGCCGTTCGACCGCGACAGCGACTTTGACGAAATGCAGGCGATCCTAAACGCTGACTATAGCTTTCAGCCAGTAGAATATTGGCGCGGTGTCAGCGATAACGCAAAAGAATTTATTTGCCAGTGTCTTACCGTCGACCCCAACAAGCGCATGACAGCGCACGAGGCCTTATCTCATCCTTTCGTCGCCGACTACAGCTTGGGCGGTGACGGTGATAGAGGCCAGAACCTACTCCCCACAGTCAAGAAGAACTTCAACGCGCGTAAAACGTTACATGCAGCTATCGACACGGTGCGAGCCATCAACAAGCTACGGGAGGGCCACGCGAATGCCCACTTGATGGACGGCACCCGATCGGCAGAGCCGAAGCAGGGCGCCCCCCCGTTAGATAAGGCTGAGGTAGCCAAAGGTGACTCGGGCTATTCGAGTACGCAGAACGAAGACGTAGATATGGGCGGCATGGGCCCCGAGTCGGACGTACCTGCGAGTTTAAGACCCGGCGTCGCTGCTAACCGAGTGGTTGAAACATCGAAAGGACTATGGAGTGCCAGCCAACCACGACGGTGAGGCGGCACTATATCATATCGGGAGTTGGAGTTGCATACTATTTGAGGCGACAGGGGGATAATTTTATCTAGACTGCATCTTGCGAGAGAGCGATGGTATATATGTGGATGAGACGAGAGACTGAAGACTCCTTTAGTTTTATGAAGAGATGAGATGGACTACAGTACGATTATGTACATGAACGAGAAAGATAGCGGTAGCGAGCGCATTGATAGTCGCATTTTTGGATAGCGAGCGAATATCGGCAGATACAGCGATATAGATCTTGCAATGGCGGTGTTGTAATTAGGATAACCCAAGCTCCGTACGGAATAGCTACTTCGAGGTATTAATCTTACCATTAACAATTTTGCTTTTTTAATTACTGAAATGTAAGGTTGACGCAAGACAAGAGATGCCATATATAAGGCATATATATCTTAGCCTGTGACGATGATGAAGTGAGCTTAAATAGGCACCTTCGGAGTTAACCACTGCGGCTCATCCGTCGGCCTTCGTGGGTGGAACTTTGGTCAAGATGAACATGTCATAAGATCCGTAAGAAAGCCACCGGTGTCTCTACATATATACGTTATGTGCGTGGCACCTAATGAGGTATGTAAACTTACCTGCGATGCAGACTGCATCGACACGACCAACTGAGTAACAAATCTCCTCAGTGACAAATCATAATCCTGAATAGCCACGCACATAATGCAACTGAAAGACGGTAGCGATATCTGATTCTTCATCCCATGACCCAGAGCTGCTAGATTATGTATCTACTCGAGTAATGGCACCATAATGGGACATTCTCATTTGCATGCATGCATACATAGTTGGTCACCTTCATGAGTCGCAAAAGCCAGCGTAGCAGTGCGTGCGGTTGAGCTAGAGTTAGCTTAAATATGGAAATACCAATAGCGATTTGCATATCTTTCAGATGGATCTTCTTTCGTCTAGGTCTGTTTGGGGAATAGTATGCTTGGTATTGAACAGGCATGTGATGATCTTCGATATGATCATCTGAGATGTCTCTGATGGTTCGCTACATAGGCATATTTACTTCCCGGCAGTCCGGCAAGAGTGTCTTTCCTACACTACCTCTATATCATATGTGTCTATGTACATACACATTTATATCTCAGCTCCCATGAACTTATATTGGTCCATTTGTTCATACGAGATTGTAGAATAGCATGATTTTTTTACATCATGAAAACACATGTCGTCCCCACAACGCTCCCTATTCTTTAATGAAGCCGAACTAGTTCCCAGTTTACTGTGGTCTAAAAAGAAGAAGAAAAAAAAGCAGGAAAAGGAGATAAGATGGAAGTACTGATGTCTACCCTGTCAATGTTTAGGACATCCATGTCATTAAGGGCTTTCTATTACGGTACCTTACGGGAGTATCGATACAGATGAAGCTGTTGGTGTGACAGCTAAAGTTGATGTGAGAAAAAGTAAGGCCTCATGTAGCTACGAAGTACAATACATCATCCCTTAACTCCGCATATATGTAAATATTAATAAATGTTACCGAAGTTTGACTTGGTGTAACTAACAATTAACGTGTTCGGGTTTGATATTTTGAAACCCGTTTCCTATCTAACAAGCGTCCCTTGCTGTTATTACGAAAGGGAACATTTTGGGCAGACATCATGATTGGCATGGGAATTTACTGTCGCGTGATCGAATTTCGCAAAAAGGCAATACAAAACGGTCGAGGGGTGGAAATTCTTCACCTCGACGGGGTCCGACAGGGCACGCTTAGACCGGCTAGGCGATAAAGTTATCGAGGTGACAAGAGTCCGTGGGTCGGTAATTCGCGGAGAGAGTAGCATTGGCATTTTCCCTCAGCGCATCCCGTCGATTCTGGTCAGATCGTCGCATGGTGCCACTTTGATACCCCGATGCTCCGTCGCGACGTCCAGAAATACAACTGTGGTATTTTTATGTAGTGTATATGTATGTATGGGCTGGATAACGGACGGTGGATATTATGAAGAGTCGAGACTTCATAAGGGAGAACTTGAAAAAAAAATAAAAAAAAAATGGCACGACGCCGTATTGGGATCTCGATTCAAAAGTGAACTCCGAACCCCGAGGTTAGTAATAATTAATGACCGAGCAACAAATGAATAGCCGGAATAGCTCTATTATGCAACTATTGTAGCACGAATAATCTAATCTCCTTTTTTCTTTTTTTTTCTATTCTCCTCCCCGTCAGTTAAGAAAGAGTCCGCTTGCTTGGCTTTAATGGTGGGTGTTCCCGGTCGGTGAGTCGGGCAGAAGCGGAGACCGAAGCGGGAACCTTGACATCAATTGGGGGCGGCCTTGGGACTTTGGATCCACTTTCTCTTAATTTTCCGTTTTAATTCACCTTTTTTTTCCTTTCCTCTTTTTTTTTTTTGCGCACGCGATCTCGTTACTGATAAAGGTACAAAAAGGTGACCCCCATTTGTGCCATGCAGACGGTACATATGTACATTAGGCATGTGATACTGTATCCCGTACTCTTAGTGATCCTTCACATCTGCATCTGTATCTGCATTTATCTAAACGCATCTATCCATCCAACTTAAATATATGTATTATGGCTGCTCATCAGCAGCTGAGAAACGGATAGGCACACATAACACATTACTGTTATTACCCTCACGTGTCCATTTCTAAATCCTTGTTATTAAGATCTCTAACTTATTAGGTAGTAATTGATAATGACATACATACGCGTACTGCAGTATTGTAAACTTGTAGGATGTGACGAGCGGCTCTGGGACCCTTGAAACGGTACAAAGTGGGCCACTATGTAAGATGCCAGAATCTTGTACTAGCGTTCCAATGCCAAGATCCGGTTGCATCGGTATTGTTACACAAGCGCGCATTGTGTACATAGGTATTGTACATTTTTCGTACTCTATTTCGTACTTCGTACCCGGTCTCATTTTGTGCAAATAACGGATATTATGTATAATTTATGCACATAATATACCCATCTAACCATGCATGCATGGCCACCCCCAGTCCCGACCCTTCCGATGGTGTCCGCCCTCGCTAGTGCTAATTGATTCCCGCTCGCCGGATTCCAAAGGGTTCTCTCGTTTGATATTATCAACTGGTGAAGTCCGCAAGGGACGAGACTGTTAGATGAGAGGACATATGAATATGCTGACCTAAGTCCTAACTCGCTTTCGTTTAGAATTTGCGGGAATTTAACATGGTAATTCTAACATGGGGAATTCTATAGGTAATCGAATCTCGTGTCGTTACCGGTGCTATGGTGCTTTGAAATCAAGCCCCATAGAATCGATTATGTCATCTGTCCTGGACACAGAGGTGGATACTTACGAAAAAAATTGAGACCTCGGCATCATTGCTGTCAAGAAGTTACTGAAGAAAAGTCCTAATGATCACTAGTGGTCATAGTAATCTAGTCTAAAGGATGACCAGGCTAGAAGTATTTTAAGGCTGATTTGAAGCAAGGCTAACGTGTTTTAGGGCTACATCTTACATTCCATCAAATTTGAGGAACAATAAAGTAGGACTTCAAGGTATTGGGCTGAGAAAGCACCCTTACGCTTACACATTTGATATCCTCTACGCGATATATGTCCACAGTTCTACTATGTATATCCATATTCGTCCATAGTGTATTTCGATATGTTTGTATAAACTAAAAGAACGGGATCTCTTTCTTAAACCACGTGTCTACCTCCGCTACAAACCTATTATATGCGCCAGAGAACTATGAATTAAATTATGGGGAGGATGAGTGAGCTTCAAGCGGCTGAAATAGTGAGTAAGCAGTTCGCTTTCGTTAAAGTCAGGCATCATCTATAATAACTCGGCCGATGCTCTGCAGTATGGAATCAGTATCAGAATTCCATCCAGTAGATTCAAGTAAACGAATAGCGTTGCGTTGCGAAGGAAGCAGACAGGCAGGCTGGCAGGACAAGTGATAAATCTTATCTTAGTCACCAACCCTAGGCTTTTTCTGGTTTCCTTATGATACGTAGGTGCATAGGTAGCTTGCATATGCGACGTATTCGGATGCTGGCGCTAAGCTGCTAAGCTAACGCAGAGGCAAAAATACTCCCTGACTCCCAATCCCGAACCGTTTTGGAATTTAAAGTTGCGGTACGGCGCTTGCGCTACACCGGGTTCTTAGTATATGCCGTTGGTACATGTACCTGACTACTTGGACATGTGCGGGAAGCTGCAGTAAAACTTGATGTGATTGCATGTGCTTTATTGCTTCTATATACAAACTTACATATATGTATATTAAAATCTTTAATTCGCCTCCTGCTCTTTTCCGCAATGTGTTGGTTGAAACAATAAACTGTAAATAATGTCCGATGTACTGTACATTGACATTTACTGTGTAGATATACGTATTGTGGATGCACAATCGGCATGGGTCCCCGCTAAGTTTATACCCCTGTCATAAGGCCGAGTAAGATGGTAGGTACCATTTTTTGAATCCATTAAATCCATTACTCATAATCCACTCCTAGATGAATTATCCATGACCACCGATACAATTCTACCCAATCAGCCATGCCTTACTTTGCGTCTCTTGCATCCCTGTCCCCGTTATATCCGGATACCTGAGTTATTATGTATTGTACGGCAACAAAGCACTGGGGGTGGTTAGGTAGCAGAACAGCGGTGGTGCGGTAGAGGTAGTGTGCTCTGCTTTTTTTTTTTCTTCTTTATTATTATATATCATGTACCTCCCCTTCCCTTTCCTTTCCGCTTCCCGATCGCACGATCTAGGAATTGCGTTCCGTATGTGATTCTTCACGACAAGCCGACGACCTCGACCTCATCTGCCTTCGCCTGGCGTCTGGGAGGACAACCAGCCCCAACATTCCTAGCCCATCCCACCTTGGCTAACTTTGGTAACCTCCGGTACGACAAGACTGCGGACCCGGCTCAGACTCTCCTCCAACTGCAGATAAAATACCTACGGTTTTCCTAGGAAAGACAGAAAGATTTCGCCCGGCGTCGTACGAGAGCGTTCCGATGCAGCAGACGAACACCGTCGTCGAAACGGAGACACAGCTCCCTCTGGGATGGCGCGAGAGGTTGAGCCCGTCTAAGTTAAAGACAATACCAGGCCGTTATAACCTACCCCGAATGTTCAGTCATTCGTCCAAGCAAATGCGAGAATCCGGCCCCAACCCGACAAGGAGTATCTCTGCTTTGCAAACTTCTTTTAAGATCACAGATACCTTTGAGTTACTGAGGACAAGAAAATGGAGCTTATTCGACGTGCAATATCTTGTATTAGCTGGTTTCACCATTTTCTCGCTATGGATTATTGACCCGTCAGCGCCTATTATTAAGACCCTCGCTGCCGTAGGGTACTTGTCGCTTTTGTTCATACCTATAACAAGACAATTCTTCCTCCCGTCGTGGTCTATATGGACTTATCTACTATACTTTTTCTCTAGCCGGTAAGCTTCCAAATTCGTCAAAGAGCTCTTATCGGCGCTTTGACTATTCCACCTTCTACTCAAAGAGGGTAGCAATTCTTTTTAAATTGCTAACAATCCGACTTTAGCTTTATCCCGTACGACATTCGTCCGGATATCCTCGTTAAGGTGCTTCCCGCTTTAGAAGATATTCTATATGGCGTCAGCTTTTCAAATGTCCTTTCCGCATGGACACATCCTGTGCTTGATCTTTTCGCCTGGATTCCATGTAAGGCAGTCCCCATTTTCAGGAATTTTCATTTTATCTCTACAAGGCCGTGGTCTTACTCGGGTTTTCGCACCTGAATATATTACGCTGGTCTAATTGACTTGTAAGAAACTATTGCTAATTTGATTCCATGTAGACGGAATAGGTCATTTCGGGCTTCCCGCTATTTGCTCCGTAATCATGTTCATTTTTGCTGCTCCGGGTACTCTTCCGATGTTCGCTAAAACCTTTGGATGGATGAGCGTTTTGGGTGTATCGATACAGCTCTTTTTCCCATGCACACCACCCTGGTATGAAAGACTGCACGGCCTCGAGCCCGCAAAATACGGAATGCAGGGTTCCCCGGCTGGGTTAGCGCGGATCGACGCACTTTTCGGCATTGATATGTACACCACTAGCTTTACCACGGCACCCGTACCTTTCGGAGCTTTCCCGAGTCTTCACGCCGCCGACGCGATCCTTGAAGCCTTATTCCTTACTTATTGCTTTCCAAAGCTTAAGGGCCTGTGCTTATTCTACGTTTGCTGGATTTGCTGGGCGACGATGTATCTGAACCACCATTACGCTGTCGATTTGCTCGGCGGCGGCATCATTGCTTATTCCTTCTTTGCTGTGGTTAGGAAATACTGGCTGCCGATTCAGCAACCTGGGAAGACATACCGTTGGGAATACGAGTATGTCGAAATTGGCGCTACGAAGAAGAACAAGACTCTAGACGAGGAACTTGGATATGGTCCCGTCGGAGCCGTTAAGCGAAGTGCTAACCTGTCGGATGAATTTACCGTCTTGGACAGCTTTATGCACTCGGGGTCGTCGAGCGGGAGCTCAAGCCCGACGTCAAGCACTCGGAGCGATAAGAGCGACAGGAGAAGAGATTAATTGCATAGATGAGACGGCACGGGCATTATGATACCACGATACACTTAATACTAGAAATTAAGACGAAATATATTAATACCGCCGAAAGGCGAGATCATTACTATATCTACACCTTCCACGAATTTGATAGATGACCTATATCCGTGATATATCTGAAGATACTACTATTGAGCCCTTGTAGCATGATATATTAATCAAATTTTCTGAAACCATTTTTGCGTATTCTAAAGCCCTTACTTTTTTACGGATTGCCCTACCTAACTGTCAGATATCGTACGAAGCGGCTCCTCATTCACGCGCCTGGGCATAAGAAGGCGATAATAATATCCTGTTATGTTAATAGACGAATCACTAGCAGCAACTATCATACTATGCTTTAGCTAATAAGTCGAGTACGGGTTGTCTCTACATGGCTGGTTTAAAGTTATATGTTCAATCACGATCTGGTATAGTTCGGCCAGAAGTAAATTATATTGATCTACGCTACGCTCTTCAGATTGCAGCATCTCCCCCAATGCTCGTCTTCCCAACAGCAAACTTCTGCTTTTCGCTAGAATCCAGAATTTGACCCGCCAGGCCTTCTTCAGCGTGGCTTTCGTTGTCGGAGGCGTGCTTGGAATCTTGCTCGACTGGAACGTGGTTACGGACAACAAGCCACGTGGGGAGTACTGACAAGCCTGTAGAAATGGGTGTTAGTCACTCTGTATAAAATGGCTCCGGATACAAATATCAAGGACCAAGATATTGATCAGAGATCAAACTTACCAAGCAGGATGGTGTTTACGGCTAGAGGCACACGCCCAGCAACCTTGAATTTTTGAGTGTTTATTCCAAAACTAATGGCCTGAGCAAAGCTCTCCTGCCCTCTTAGAATGCCCGAGAACCGCGTCAGCTCCGAGATATTGTCAGTCATACTAGCGACGAGGTAATCTATTATGAATTAGCAATCGTCCTTCCATGATACCCCCACATTGGAGAAATTTGAGGTCACTTACAAAGCCAATTCTGAAGTGCCTGTCGCGAAAAGTCCCAAAGGACCAGCACGAAGAAGCCCTCGACGAACCCCTTGTCCTCCCAGTCGTAGGCGGGCGGGTTACTATTATACCGAATTTGAATTACCCAGCCGTATACCCAGGCCACTATGTGCACCACTACGACGTAAAAAAACCCGATCACTATGCGCTTCTTGACCGGAAGACCCTTGTAATCTAGCAGCGTGCTCATAATTTGCGACGACAGCAAGGCGCCGAAGTTATTCACAAAGCCGATCAAGGCGCGCGCTCGCACGCCGAAGTAGTACGACTGAAAGTTGCTGCTGTATTGGTTGAAGTAGGCCGCCCAGAAAACCGGTAGCAGGAGTAAGATGTCCTTGCGCTTGCATGCCGCCCATAGCGCACGAAACTCCCCTGCGAAAGAGCCTTCGCTCTTGATGATAACTTTTGATCCATCTGCACGCTGCACTTTCTCCGGTGGCGATAGCGCGAGCGCGAGAGGAGCCGCAACGCATTGCAGCGCGATGAATATCAGGTAAACTTGGTATCCCACCTTGCCCTTAGCCTTAGTGCCCTCGTCATGGTTCAGCGCGAGCACGATGGCGCCGCCGACCAAGGGTCCGCCCGTGCGGAACCACAGCCATATATTCAGATAGCGACCTCTTTTTCCGGGTTCGGGATAGCCTACCGCGATAGCTGCTTCCGAGCACCAAAAAGCTGTCCAATTCCAAGTTAGCAGATTGTACGAACATGGTAGCTATATTTGCTTATATAAATGGAGTCCATACCACCGGCGCTCAAGCCGCACGCTACGGCGCCGACTAATACTAGCCAGGTATTGCCGTAACGGTTGTTCGCATACAAGCCAGCCGAATAAACAGGGTACCCAATAGCACCTAGGAAAAGCGTCCATCGTAGACCAATGCGGTTGGCGAGGGGCGCGCCGAACAAGCACATAAATCCCATGATGGCGAAGACGAGCGAGTTGGCCGCGTTGACCAAGTACGGCTCTTGCGCGCCGCCAGCGCCTAGGTTGTTCATCGCGTTCCATAGTCCTGGGGCGATGAAGCCGACGCCGCCGATGACGAAGGCATTGAAGAGCGTTGTGTGGTACCACGTGCGCCTCTGCTTGACCGCGGGACCGCCCGTCGGCGCGTCTGCGATGGAAGAGCTGCTCATTTTGCTGATCAGCTCGGGTGGATCGTAGGTATTGCCCGGCCTGAGTTTAGCAGTTGGGCTGTCGATAATGCCGTCAGAACGAGGCGATATCGGTCGAGGCAAAAATCTACAAGAGGCCCTAATCCAGTTCACCAGCTTACACGAGAAGCGACGAATGTAATCTTTATACCATACCAGCGGTATGGTACCCCATGCCGACGTTCGAAGTCTTCATTTTTCTTACGACGTTGTGCAATAAGTTGGTCGGATTGCGACATCTTGGCTCGGTCCACAACCCCGGCCTGCTGCAGGGTATCGACCGCTCCGGGTCCATAATTTCGGCCATTCTAGCTAGATCTAGGCCGTCAAGAAGATGGCCTTGCCGATTCCAGCCGTTGGGAGACGAGAGGTATTTTAACCTCGGGATTTCTCATGGGACGTTGCTCTACTTAGGTAGGAATAGGAAAAGGTGGGTGGTTATTGGATACAAGAACTCTTGAGGGCAACATCAAGAGAAAGACTGCCTAGGTAGTTTAATAGAAATTCTCGGGTATTTTCTTGATAGAAGCTATTTTCAGGCAGACTAATATGTCACTCATATATCATTATTTCATTCTCGCCATTAACCCCAATGACTGACTTACCCAGCAATATCCTCATGTAAATAGAATAAACTGCCATACAAGTCAATGAGATCCTCGTACGCGCAGCTGCCTATGATACTCTCTGCTCTTCAACAGCTGCTCTCGCAGCAGTAACATTGTCCAATGCACCTGGTAGATCTGAGTGAATGCATATACTAAACCCTTTCCTATCAACAGGTATATCCACAGCATTCCCGCTCTTGGAAATAGCCTGGCCCTTACTCGTGAAGATGCGGATGCGCTCAGCAATCAGCTCCGAAGTAACAGGGGCGGATTCTGCCACTGGTACCAGTCCGCCTTGGTCATTATAGTCGATGTCCACATAGAACTCGGGGATAAGCTCTACCCCGAGCCTCTGGCAGTCCTCGACCATATGCTTAGTTGGCAGTCCATAAATGGGGACCTTGAAAGTTTTGACGGCGCGAAGCACGGCATCTCGAATACCAGCGTCTCGCTGTATATAGAAATAGAGCTCGCCGTGTGGCTTGACGTGATTAAGCGACATGTCCTCTGCAGCAATTATAGCCGCGAGAGCTCCGACTTGGTATAAGACCAGAGCGTACATATCGTCAGGGGAAATCTCCATGCGGCGACGACCAAAGCCAAGGAGGTCTGGCATTCCTGGGTGGGCACCAACTCGCACACCACGTTGCTTTGCGAGGCGAACTGTGCGCACCATAGTAGAAGGGTTGCCGGCGTGGAACCTCCTTAGGGTTAGTTGGGATAATGATAGAGTTGAGCAGAACTAACCCGCAAGCGATATTTGCTACATCGATATAGCGCATCAAGTCCTCATCAGGTCCCTATCGGCCATTAATGCATGAGCGAGGGAAAATAATAAATTACAGAGGAAAGGTCTTACTAGTTTCCATCTTCCAAAGCCTTCCCCTAAGTCGCAGTTGATCTCTATCCATCGCGACTGGGCTTTATCTTCAGACATGATGTGTTCCGTACTGGATCTATGATATCTATTTATTTGGACTGCGTAGGATATGACGTTAATTATATTATGGCGATTTGTATAGCTGTTGAAGATCGATGATCCCCAAGCTCACCCCGCAGATACGCAACTCGTATCATTTATCAATCGGAGGGCCCCGTTTGTCTATAAAGTAGACTGTTATCTGTATCCCTACACGCGACCAGCCGCTATAGGCACTCGCCAATTAATTCTGGGCATACCGACCCCGAGGGCTCTCGGTGTATGCAAAGAGACTGATCGCCGGTTGCACCAACCTTTCTAATGTTACAGTGATGAAAAAACCCTCTATCTTGGAGGTTTTATTGCTTGAGGGCGCGGGTGTGCCTACCACAGATACCACACTGGATGTTTAAAGCTTGCATCCGGAACCTCGATCTCATGCAAACAAGGTAAATTGGAGTAGCTAAGAACTATTATAGAATATTGGAAGCTAAAACAGTTACTGAAGTTGGTGATATCTAGAAATGCTTCACGTAGAATAGTTGAATTTGTAAATGTATGAAGATCCAATTATCCCATAACTGACATATGGCGTATCTTGATGATAAAAGCAAACGATACATCCCCTATATAGACATTCTCGGCCCGTAACTCTAGAGCGGCCCATCTTAATCGGGCTTCTGAAGGAGCACGAGTAATGTGCCTGATGATACTAACGTTCCTTCTTGAACCAAAACTTCCTTAACTACGAGACCATGATGAGATTCCTCTGCCATGACCGGAATTTCCATTTTCATAGCTTCAAGTATAACAATCACTTTCTCTTGCTCTATTAAGTCACCGGGACTTACTTGAACCTTCCATACCTTGCCTACCTGAGGCGACGAGACTACCACTACTCCTGACCCTACGTCAGTTATCTCCTGAGCGCTGGCATGACTCTTTTCTTGGTCTAATTGCCACTCTGAGAGTAGCTTTTCTTCGCAGACACGCATAAGTTGTTCTGCTACTTCCTGCTTAGCAAGAAACTCGAGCGTCTCTGGTAGATTGCGTTTCTCGTGATCCTTGACAAGTTCGGCTTGGAAATCGAATACGGTTTCTTCAACCTGTATCTCATATACGCCAGCCTCAAACTGTCTTGAAATCTCCTCATACTCGTTGAGATTCACCTCGTAAAAGTCTACTAGGTCAAATGGCTCGCAAAGCCACGGCTTGGCCTCCCTGAAACCTGGTCGTAGGGCGTACGTATCCCAGACTGGAATTGACTTGGCAAGCATCATATAACCGCCAGGCTGGTCAGCTGGATATATGCAGAACATCCCACCCCCAAGACCCACTGTCCCGGGGGGTGTAGAAATCCGCGTTGGGTTATATTTCTGGGACGTTAGGCGCGCCATAGGATCTAGAGGCCATAATAGTGGCAATCCTGACATAAAGCCGACAGTGACGACGAGAAAGCGTGTCTTGAGAAGAATATCGAAAATATCGTTACGGGAGGCAAGCCCGTTGTTCTCTTGCACATAAGAGACGTTATCTGGGACGTAAACGGCCTTGTTGCGTTGCAAGGTAGTATAACGGCTTTCTGCCTCACGGACCGAAGGATGGTCGAAGACGATAGGGAGGCGAAAGCGACGCGCTGCTAAGGGCTTCTCAATATTGCTGCTTTGTTGATGGGCTTCCTTGATTAAGAGTACAACATCTGGCTGGGAAATCGTGCCTGGTTCGTACTCAACAGTGATGGCTATCAAAAGAACTTAGTCATGTTATTCAGCAGTTATCTTCTAAGGGGTATACTAACAGTTAATACTAATGTGTACAAAGGTCCCCGGGACGCTGCCACTCTGGATGGCTCTGGCCAGATTGTTCGCTGCCACTGAGGTCTCGAGGCCTGCCTTTTGAGACATTTCTACATTGACGATTATAAAGCGATCGCCGCCCTAAATATAGAGGTAGAAATTAGCAAAACAGTTACTGAATCGTTCCGAAGAACATACTTGGCGTAAGGTCAGTTTCAGTCCCCCATGGTCACTCGAAATCACCTGCAATATTGCGTCTGGTTTAAGATCCTTTTCCTCTATCTCCAAAAGAGACAGCGGGTGCTCATGTTCTAGAATACCGCTAGATATATGCTTTGCAATTGTACCGATAAAACTAGCCTTCTGGCTCGCTAGCTTCCGGGCAGAACTATAGGATACGGGCGTCAACCTAGTCTTATCGCCGGGTTTGAGTCTTCCAAGTTTCCACAAGTCTGCGGAGACAACCGTAGAGGAAGAAAGAAAGCCGCCGAGTCCAGGGGAATCTTGAGGGAAAATTACGCTGGTATCGCCTGTCCAGTTAATCCCCCCCGGCGATGGATAGTGATAGTCGATAATATTGCTTGGATGACTGCCGCCGTCCCCTCCGTTTTCTCGAGCCCATTCAATCTGTGGACCGATTAGGCGTATCCCCGTTCGGTTGCAATTATGATCTACGGTCCACTCAGTCGAGTAGAGAATTTGTCTGCCGGTTTCTGTGATGTAGTCGTCGGAATCGTGTGGACCGTGCATCACATAGATATCTGTCACAGTAGTAGGGGGGATTAAGTCTGGTGGGAGTTGATACGTATCAGGTAGATCGGATTCCTCGATATGGGCTACTTCGATATGGTCACCACGTCGTAATTGTCGGCCCTTTCATCGAGTTTAGTAATCATATAAGCTCCTTTGGTAATAAGCATACTCACTTGTATACCACCCAGAGCGAGGTTCGGTGTCGTAGACTTGGATCCAAGCCATTCGGGCCTAGGTTGTGTTAACAAGTAAAGTTAGTAACCTTAATGGGATTACTTACACCCCTGGAAAGCCTCCTCGGATCGCAATATAGCATCGGCCTCCCGGACTGGCGGATGCTCCTATTTTAAGTACTTCGCCTGGATTCATAATAATTCTAGACCACATCTGCTTAACATTTCCGTCCACCTCCACGGAAAATGGGGAGCCGGTAATAGCTATGACACTCAAACTAAAGAACTTGAGCTTGGGTCCACGAGCGGTGACCTCGAGACATTCTATATCTTCCGAGTTCCCGACGAGCAAATTGGCAACTGTAGTAACATCAGCGGTGATTCGGGTATATAAATAATTGGGTTAATTCCCATTCATCGATCAGTCCGACGTACTAGTTGCAGCCAAGTCATCCATTGGTCCACTTGTCGGTATTCCATAGCCTTTACGTGTTCTATTACAGGCTTGCTGGACGGTGGTGAAAACACCTGGATCATCAATTTGTATGCCCGTAGGACGGAATGTGAATTGTGTATCTAGGAATGTCGTAAGGGTTCTCCCTCTAAAGAATTCTATTAAAGAATTTAGTCGAAGATAGACTCAGATATTATGTTATAGATCTCACCTGTCGAACTAATTATCGACTTAAGAATTGTCAAGTTCGTTGTAAGCCCGCCGATTTCCGAGGTATCCAAGGCTTTTCGCATAGTTGCAATCGATTCTTCTCTTGTAGCGCCATGTACAATCACCTTGGCCAGCAGCGAGTCTAGCTCCGCGTTAGATGAAGTTTGAACGACACTTGAGCTTCACTCACCGAAATAGGGGCTAACGAAGGTGCCAAGCTGTATCCATGTATCCACTCGAGCGTGATGATTAGGCCAAACAACTGACTGGACAAAACCAGAGCTAGGTATGAAAGAATCCGCTGGGTTCTCACAGCATACCCGGGCTTCGATTGCAGAGCCTTTCGGGACCGCCTCTGCTCGTATCCTCAGAAGCTCATCAGAAGGAATTCCAGATTCTTTTGACAGTTGATACTTGGCCTGCTGTAACATCAAAGCGACAAGGTCCACGCCGTAGCAAAGTTCCGTGACGCCGTGCTCGACTTGCAAGCGGGTATTCATCTCCAAAAAGAAGAAGTCCCCCGTTTCATCGTCGACGAGAAACTCTACAGTTCCAGCTGAAGAGTAGTTAATAGATCTTGCGAGAGTCAAGGCGGAGGAGACGAGGCGACTTCTTAACTCGGGCCGGCCAAGTAGATATGGACTAGGAGACTCTTCTATCACCTAATATGAAGATATCAGTGATTAAGACATAATACTTAGAAGGGTATTGATAGACGGGTTTACCTTTTGGCGGCGCCTTTGAATACTACATTCTCGTTCGCCAAAATCTACTACTTCGCCTATCCCGTTTCCAAAGACCTTGGGTATGGTAGTTAGGACGGTTGCTAGCTGAATGTTGAATCAATCAGCTAAACATACTTGAATCTCAATATGGTGGCTCGAGCCATAGTATTTCTCTAGAAAAACTCCCGTATCGCCGAAAAGTTCTTTCGAGCGGCTTTCCACATTGGCAAAGGCTTTCGGAACATCGTTCTCGCTCTCGCAAACATATTGACCCATACCGCCACCGCCACCAGAAGCCTTTACTATAACCTAAAGCAGGCAATCTTGAAGTTAATAATACATCCATTCATAAGATTTTAACCATCCAATCCGTATAGATGGTATCAGAATTTAATCAAATAGAAGAATAGGGGCTAACCGGGAAGCCTATCCTCTGTGCTATTTCAAGCGTCTCCGCTGCACTCCTCAATAATCCAGAGCCTTGAATAACAGGGATTCCTGCAGCAGTGGCCAGGCCTCTCGCTACATGTTTTAAGCCCATTTGATAGATTGCTTTGCTGTCCGGGCCTATGAAGATCATGCCTGCATCGTGAACCCGACGGGCAAATTCCGCATTTTCGCTTAGAAATCCGTACCCAAGAAAGACGGCATTGATGTCTTGCTTCTGGCATATTTCAAGGATTGCATCACTATAATTGCTTTTATTAGTGATATTAGCATGAGTAAGGGTATAAGCTAGGTTTACATATTTGTGTATGCTCGAGGCCCTTCTTCTTCAAGCAGGACGCTCGAATCAGCAAGACGCACGTGGAGTGAACTAGCATCTGCCGTGGTAAAAATAGAGACGCATGGGAATGATAGCTGTTTGCATGCTTGGATACATCGTACGGCAATTTCGCCGCGGTTCGCAATTAGTATACGAGGAATAAGAGACATTGTATAGGCTACTACGTTTTTAAGAAACTACGAATGAGGCAATGGTTGGGGAAAGGGTATATGCTAGTTATAGTACTCGGTAGTAAATATTTGATAGCTATAACATCAATAGGGGTTGGTGATAGTGTGACATGCTAGGTAACCAGTGGTGAGGGGAACTGATAAGCGTTCAGGGGAATGATTGGATATTTTTATTTTGACAGATAGGGGTCTAGCACGACTATAACCGGGTTTAGGAAGACCTCAGTGTGCTTCGAAGCAGGTGTTAAAGGCCATCCATAATTGGTAGTTACTACGACCATTTCTTAGTTTACGATAGTTCTGAACTCGTCGTTTGAGAACCGTTAAGCTTGCGTCCTTTTTGTATTATATGACTGTGTATAATCTAGAGACTATACATCTGAAATACCGTATTATTACAAAACAATTTCAGAGTGAGGACCACCAATGGTGGTATCGGGGATTAATCGAAATGATCAAGTATTATGTAAAATAACTGGTATAGATAGGTATTCAGGGTTATCTAATCTCTGTGATGTAATGCCAACCGGGTTCCTGAGAGAGGGGTAGGATTTATGTTAAGTAAAACCGAATAATCAATTTAGTATCCATTGTGAAGGTAATCTCTACATATAAGATTCCTATAGTTGCAGAGACTAAAGTATACTCAGCAAGCTCGACGGATCAGGTCAACTCAAATAAATAATCATACAAACTCGACCTTATACAAGTCATGTCCAATCTATCGAAAAAATGAGGCTTACTTGGCCGGATCGTGGGACTGATAGGTCTACCTAGGAGCCATTATAAAGCCACACCTAGCCACAATATCTAGCCACTTCAACTACTTTAGCTATATAAATTTCTTGCTCTAAATTCACTAAATATGTATATCCTTAGTTTTACCTGTTTCCTACTTAAATAAACCTTTTTTCGACCTGAATCAGATAGATTTCCTATACAATATATCTACCTAAGCCAAGTTAAGTCATATCCAAGTCAGGGCTATTAACTGACTCATCGAACTCGCTGAGCATACTTATGCTTTTGATATCACCGTGGCCCTTCAGAATGATGCTCGTGTCTTAAAAGACTTTAGCCAATAGCATAGCTGGACGTCTAGATGAGGTCCCACTATGGATGAGCCATTGTTGCCTGCTTTACTAACATCCTATGTAGCTGTGCCGCAGAGGATGTATATAAAAGGACATGGATGAGCATGATTCACCTTTTCGATATACTTACGCTGTAATAAGTTTTCAATGTAAATTATCCTTTAAGAATGACCGGTCCATCCAGCATAACAGATGAATATGACATTGTGGATCATAATGAAACCGCGTTGAGCCATGAGGAATTGGCAGAGATACGCAACTGGCTTAAGCCCACCGACTACTTGGCTGAATCTGGTGAATTCCGCCGTCATCTCTCATCCCAAGCTCCCGGAACCGGTCTTTGGATTTGCGAGACTGACGAGTATAAGAAATGGTACGACTCTTCAGAGCATGGCAGCCTTTGGATAAAGGGAGTAGCCGGCGCAGGGAAAAGCGTCATAGCGGCTTCGGTGATTAATCATTTACGCACATCTGAAGACTGTCCTGTTCTATTCATGTTTTTTCGAAATATCGTCGCAGCCAATTTCTCACCGCGTGCTCTTATTCAAGATTGGCTTGCTCAGCTTCTGCCCTACTCTCCTAAGCTACAGTTTTATCTCCAGTCACGCCTAAAGACAAGCTTGGTAGAGACTCCGGACAGCGAACTATTTCAACTTTTTCTCGATGGAGTATCATCTGTGTCGAAATGTTTCTGTGTTGCTGATGCTCTGGACGAGATGGATGAGATGACTCCTGGAAACAGGGCGCTTCTCGAAAGGCTTAATAACTTGGCTACCTATCGTCCTCACTCCTTGAAACTACTCGTCACCAGTAGGCCTAAGCAGTATTTGCAAAGTGCCTTGAGAGACTCGTCGATCGTTCACATTAGCCTTCAGCAGCGTCTTGTGGATGCTGATATAACAGCGTATCTACACCATCGTTTTGACAAGCTTCCTAAAACCGATAATACGCCGGAAATTAAACAGCAGGTCATTGATATGGTAGCAAAAATGTCTCAAGGCTTATTCCTGGTTGCAAAGCTTACGATGGACCAAGTGGAAGCTTATTTTCTCGCAGATGGCTCAGTAGATATGTCTACTCTGGAAAAAACTCTCCCTGTGGGATTGGAACAGACATATACTAGCCTTCTAGCGAAGCAGCGCCAAGAGAACGGAATAAGTATTGACACCCAGGTGTTTGTTCTTGAGGCGGTCACGCATTCCTCACGCCCTCTGCGACTGAACGAGTTGGCAAGCTTAATAAAATCCATTTGTCCAGATATCGAAGCGCCCTCGGGCTTCAAGATACTGGTCGCCACCTGCTGCGCGCCCCTGATAGAAATTCTTGAAGACGAAACGCTACAGGTAATTCATCATTCATTCACCGAATTTTTGCGTGGCGAAATGCGCAGCCTGCAAAAAGTTGACCCGGTAACTGCATTCCCGGTAATTGAATCTGGAAAGGCGCACAAGCATATGGCTATGAATTGTCTTCGATACCTCCGATCTGGCTCCTTGCTTCTTGATGGTGAGCAGTCCGACAATACGGCTAAGGAGTTATCAGTCACCTATCAGAAGCCTCGGCATCAAATTGATCTGGATGAAGAGCACTATAAACGTTCCCATCTAGGCCTGAAAGAGGAAGAAGACCCCTTTAGATATAGGGAGGCCCGCTTGCGCCATCCATTTCTGAGTTATGCCGTGGAGAACTGGTCATATCATGCCAGCCTTTACGGCGACGTAGAAGATGAGGAGCTGTTTAGCGCCGTCTTGGGTTTTGTTAGGCCGAATGACATAGCTTTTAGAAGGTGGCTTATACTTCAATGGGGGTCGACGTCGAATAACAAAGAAAAGGCGGAAGGTTTGCCGACGGGACTTCACATCGCTGCTTTCTCGGGCCTATATTATCTCGCTCTCAAGTTAATAGAGGAAGGCCTACAAGTGTCCGCAGTAGATGCTCAAGAACGCATCCCGTTACATTGGGCAGCTGCCAATGGACATACGAAGCTTGTATCATTGCTGATCCAGCATGGGAGCGACCCGAATGCGATAGACGGGCGTGGCTTAAAGCCGATCCATCTCGCCGTCAAATACGCCTCGGTGGTGAAAGTACTACTCGAAGCTGGCGTGGAACCTGACACGATCAAAACAAAGGAAAACCACGCAGGACGTCTACTAGGAGGAGAGAAGATCACAAAGGGAGAGTGTGCAATCCTCTACGCTATCCAAGGCGGATACACGGAGACCATCATAACGATGATCCCATTTTGCAAGCCGGAAACGTTAGAGCGTCTCCTATGCGAATGCTGTCGATTCGGTCGAACGGAGTCTGTCTTGGCGATTCTAGAAACCACGGATGTCTCAGCAAATGCGACGTACCGCGGGGCGACTGCTCTATATTTCGCATGCAGTGCAGCCAACGCGAAATGCGTCCAAGCCCTCATAAACCGGGGAGCAGATGTAACTCAAGTATCAAAATGGGCCCCTCGACGTACTCGTAACGGTGGGGCTTGGGTTGGAAGCACCGCAGATGCCCCGATACACTGCCTAGTGACGTCGTGGCGCGACGATAATGACTCGTCGTGTCAGGCTATCCTAAGAATGTTGTTAGAAGCAGGTGCCGATCTTGAGCAGGTCGACAGCGAGAAGAATACCGCTCTACTCCTTGCTGCTGGTGCCCCATTGAGAAGTAGTTGGACCACACCTCGCGTGCTTGCCCTGAAAGCCTTGCTGGAAGCAGGAGCTGACCTGAACAAGACCCATATTCACGGAGATACTCCCATGAATTTAGTTTTGCGCCTGAATCGTGATATTAAGGCCATACGACTTCTTCTAGATGGCGGGGGCGATCCAAATAAAAAAGGGCGTCATGGTCAAACAGTCCTACACTGTGTGCTTGACCAACCAGGCATGGTAAAAGGGACCGAGGACACAGAATCTATTGTTAAGCTTCTGCTCGAGAACGGCGCCGATCCGAATGTTAAGGATGATCATGGATCAACGCCCGTATATAAAGCGATGTCTGCCGGGCTCGAGGTCTTCCAAATACTACTCGCAAGATGCAACGACGACGCTGTCAAGGAGCGATGTTGGTTCGGGTTATCCTCCCAGTCCGGTATTGAGAAGTTCGCGAAATACCTCGAGCTGTTACTCACGGAAGGCATTGATATCGACTCCAGAAATGCAATAAATGGCCAGACTCTCTATCTCTCCTGCCTTTCCTCCGAGGACAAGCTACGAATACTCCGAGACCACGGCGCGAAAACAGACGTAGTCGATAAGTTTGGTAACAATTCTATCCATATTATTTGCCACGCAACTGAGTGCCTACGTGATAGAATAGAGAAGCGTATTGCTACCGACGGAGTAGATCCACTCAGTACCAACTACGCAGGGGACACTCTCATCCATCACATTGCTTTATGGTTCAATGGCGAACAGCATGTAGCCGACTTTTTACGCTGGATTATTAGTCTCGGGATCCCCGTAAATGCCGTGAACAACAAGGGCTCTACAGCTTTGCACGTCTACCAACAGAAGCTCGCCTACGGCAGTACCATCCGCAGCAAGGACCGCGCCCATTTTGTCGAAGTCATCAACTATCAGGGCCAAGTCGATTTCGAAATAAGAGACAACTATGGCTTGACCGCCCTACATATAGCGTCTATGAGGTCTGAGAAAAACCTGAGCTTGCTAATCGATTCCGGCGCCGACTTGAGCTTTTTGACGCACGATGGGCAAAATGCCCTTCATATCTCCTGTCGGGCCCGGAAGCCCGGAATCGTCTGTCAGATACTTCGGTTAGGAATCATCGACTTGAATCAGAAAGACGTATTCGGTAGGACGCCGCTTCATTACGCATGTAGCTCAGGAGAACCGGAGTCCGTGGCTTTTCTACTGAGGTACGGCGCCGATATACAGGTAGTAGACTCAAACGGGTGTACTCCTCTCCACGCCTGTGCCCAATCTACATTAGAGCAAAAAGTCTGGGACGCATATGAGCAGCGGTACGAATGGCTATGCAGCCCAGTCAGACGTCCCTTTCAGCCGTATATTTCCGGGCCCCAAACCCGGCGTCGGTATCAGGATAATTATGGCTCTGGGGCTATTGGGACGATCGTGAAAATGCTTCTGGATGCCAACTCTGATGTTGCCGCGGTTGATAAATCTAAACTGACAGCGTTAGATGCAGCCCTTGCAGCTGGTTGCGCCGAGTTTGTCGAGGTATTTGCCAAGAATGAGGCACTTTTCGAAAAAGCAACGAAAGGTTTAAATAACAACAAGGACACTGCGGAGCGATCAGAAAAGATTCGACAAAAGATGAGAGCCCACATGGAGTTAATACGACCAAGACCGATTAATCTAAATGAGGATAAAGAAGCCCTCGACGAAATTATTACGTCCCCTTCCACAAGCTTAGACCTTGTTACGAGCGAGGATGCTGCACAGTTAATTAATATCGGCTTTGAAACCAACCCGCTTGACTCCTCTTACTACCAGCTTCTGAAGGAACTCATGAAACTTGGCTATACGCAAGTTGCCGAACAGCTATCTCGAGTAATATTGCATTACAGTTCTTATACGTCCCTTCGAGAGAAGATCGAGAGAGATCAAAAAGATAAGGAACTCTACATTGATTCTGAAGCCAGAACTGCCCTACAATTAGCATGTCAGCAGTCTGAATCGAATATGCTGATGCTACAATTCCTGATCGAAAAGCTATATGTTGATGTCAATGCGCAAGGTGCACGCATTAGTCCCGAGAGGTTTCAGGGCCTTGATGAAGAGATAATTCCCACCGGGACCGCGCTTCATTTACTTGCATCGGCAGATCATAATTGGCAGTTGGAGGGTATGAAATATCTTCTTTCTCATGGAGCTGATGTAGACGCTCTAGACGAGGAAGGAAGATCTGCTTTGCACGTCGCCGCCCGCGGTAAAAAGTACCAAGATGACGACGTCCAAGGTTTTTGGAGGCTTGATATGGTACGAATTCTTTTGGATAACGGGGCCAGTCTAAATATCGTCGATAAGATGGGACTTTCGCCTCTCCACAAGGCCTCTGCCGCTCCAGACATCATGAAAGAGTTGCTTCGCAGAGGTGCAGATCCGGCCATCGGGGATCGTAATCCTGTATTCCTAGCTATATACGACCAGAATCTCTCAGCGCTAGAGACGCTTCTAGACCATGGACTCAGCGTGGATTTGCTCGACGAAAAGTACCCCAGCCGGAGGGTGAATTACAAGCTCACAGAGCCTCGAAAGGTATACGCGCTGCTGTGTGCGGCTTTTGCTGAGAAGTTGAACACGAGCGTCCGAAACTCGACACCCCTACTCAAAGCTCTCGTACGGCGAGGTGCTGATTTATATTTGCCGCTGAACGAGAACGAAACTATGGTTCATTTTCTCTTTGAGTTTCCAGAGTACGAAGTCCCGAATACACTTCTACGGGAGCCGTGCGTGTCCCGAATCGACTTCAACCGCCGTGATCAGCGTGGCCGGACGGTCTTGATAGCCTCGTGCGACTGGCGTGAAATTCTGCCTGGATATTCGTATCGCCACTGGGAACCAAAACTACCAGGACCCCCGCTGCAGATCCTGGATCGTGGGGCTGATGCGACACTGGTGGATAACGAAGGAAAGACAGCGCTGCATCATCTCTTAGAGAATCCAGGAATTCCTGATGACGTTCTTATTCAATTCATCAATCGTGAAGAAGTTGCTCCTACCCTATTTCTGAAAGACAATCGTGGGTTTTCGCCATTTCACTACGCTTTGCGTATCCTACGACCTAAGATTTGCGACCTGTTGCTCTCTAAAGGCGCCAGTACAGACCCTGACCCAGACGGCCTCACGGTACTTCATAATATAGCTTCTCAGTGTCTAGAAACGCGTCGCAAGCCGCTCGGCTCCGGACATATAGACACAAAGCTACCTAAGGACTATTTTGACCAATGCTTAGCTCTCTGGCAAAGATTCATAGCGTCAATCAACGTAGCAGACAATGATGGTAACACTCCCCTTTTTGCATATCTATTATCTGGAGATAGAGACCTTCGCAGCGAGAATTCTGGAGAATGCCATCTGCCTCACTACGACAAGCTTTTCTCACCTGATAGCCTTGTTGATATCTTCGCGGTAAACAAAGAGGCCGAGACGGCGTTGCATGTGATCGCTAGGAGAAAAAAGACATACTATACGGGAGAGGGACATGATAAGGCAATGTTTGAGGCTTTCATGGCTAAAGGGCTAGATCCGTTGAAGGAGGATGCTAAGGGGAGGAGCGCATTAGATGTTGCCAGCGTCTTTGAGAAAGATGATATTATCGCGATCTTCGGAAGGAAGTAGAACTTCGTCCCGATGAATCTAATAATGATGTTGATTGAGTAAGAATCTCACGACTCCACTTTATCTGGTAGAGATCTTAGATATGTCCTTATCATTTGCACCGGTATTCACTTAGGATTATGTAATTGAACTATCCAGCGATTAAAAGGGTATTAAGCCGAAAGTTTAAATGAAGTTCGCAGAGTTTGGGGATTATCTAACTACCTATATTTAGGTATCTATTAGGTACCTGGTAGTCTTCTAAATTCTGCATCAACATCTACATGTACCTAAGGTAATCATAAATCTGCCTCCTTAGGCACCCAATCCAACCCCTTTTGCTCCCCTACCAAAGTCAGTATCTTTCCTTCGTCAATAACCGCTTGCAAATTCCTCAACACGAGAAGTTCCATCTCTCGCTGAGTCTCGACGGTAGTTGTCCCGAGATGAGGGAGTAAAAACGCTCGGTCGTTCTTCACCAATCCGGGATGGATTTCCGGTTCGTTCTCAAATACGTCGAGACCTACTGCCGAGACGTGTTCCGACTCTAGCGCAGCCACCAGGTCCGCCTCGTTGATCAGCGCTCCACGCGCCGTGTTTACAATTACGACACCCATTTTTGTCTTGGCCAATTCCGGCGCGGAAATTATGTGTCGGGTGCTTTCGTTCAGAGCTAGGTTAAGGGATAGTACGTCTGACTGAGCTAGTAACTCGTCAAATGACACGTATTTCGCTCCTTTCTCCAAAGACGGATTCAGTTGGCGTCGGTTATGATAAATGATATTCATCCCGAAACTGCGCGCACGGTCTGCCATCGCCCGTCCAATCCCGCCCATCCCTAAAATTCCAAGGGATTTGCCGCGAGGGTCGTGGCCTAGCTGCACCCTCCCCTTCCAGCGGCCCTGGCGCAACGCGATCAGCGGCTCGTGCGCATATCGCAAAGCACCCAACATGAGAAATATGCCGACGTCAGCGGTAGCATCATCGACAGCCACGGGAGTGGATGATACGGCGATCTTACGATCGCTGCACGCCGCCACGTCGATGTTGTCGTAGCCCGCGCCGTTGTGCGCGATGAACTTCCAGGACTGTGGTAGCGCTGCGACGAGCTCACGATCGAATGGCCCTGTTATTGCGGTAGAAACGTTGGACCGATAGCATCCGCTGACTGCGGCGTAAGTTCCATTTCGGCAATTCTCGAGAAATTGCTCTCGCGTTCCCTTTCGAAACTCAAGGAGTGTATATTTACTGCTAAGGGACTTCCATTCTTCGTTTGTATGGACTAAGTTCCCGATTAAGAGAACGGTAGGAGGTGACGACATGGTAAAAAAATTTAAAAAAATTTATTGTTAGTTATATATTTGCTATAACTTTAGGTGGTGGTTTGGTAATATGTACGAAGTATACTTGTATAATAACCGACAGATGCCGAACTTCGGAGATGGTGACCTAAAATCGCAATCGCGTTGCACTAAGATGGCGGATTCCTCCCACTATTTATTAGTCCGCTTAAATTTCAATAGGTCACAAAGACTAGCCGTTATATATTTAATAAACAGAATCAATTAGTTTTAGTAGGAGCCTAATAGCCATAGTAGACTATCATCTATCAATGAGCTCAATAAGTCCAATAACAAAAGAAATTTGTGTGGTTAATATGGCCACCCAGTTGCAGCCTTGGAGGGACTCCCAGGTCCGTCCCACTACCTATCCGTCCAGGTAAGCCTTATTTTTTTTTATTTTTTTTCAATATATTTGACCTAACTCATAGAACTCGCTGTCACCTATAAAATCTGTAGATGCTAACGGAATACATTTCCAATGATATTTCCATGTAAGTATCTCCCAAATAAATATAACAAATTGCGTTGCTCCCCAGTCTTTACTCGTAACGATTGGATCCCATCATTCAATACAGAAGAAATAGTAAACTACATCATCAATAATGATGAATACCTCACCTACCTAAGATACCAAAGAAAGCTCATTTGACCATGCCCATTAAAGGCACTAAAGGCATACCTAAGTCTCACTCCCTAACGCCTTCCATAGAAGAACGCTTTTTGTCCCAATGCCTAAACATCCGCGTGCTGTCAATCGTGTGATCCGAATCCAATTTTCTGTTCATATCGGCGTGTTTGACAAACACTAGGGTAAGGAAGAGGGCGAGAACCGAGATCCCTAGCCACGTAGCAAACACGACCTGAAAACCCAGCTTGAACGAGTCGTAAGTTGCGTCCCGGACATGGCCAACAGGAAGTAAGTGCAAAGTCGGAATATAACTTTCAGCATAGTCAGCGATGGAAGTATCCAGTCCTTCCCACCTGAGCTTTAGCTTCATCACGTTTTGAAACGTTGACGCGCCTATTCCTACACCAACGGCCATACCAAACTGCCTTGCGAATATATACATCGCTGCGGCGGCACCTTCGTCTCCGGGTTTGCACATGCTCTGGGTTCCGAAATTCTGGGCATTAAGTATAGCCCCATGACTGATCCCTCCTAAAAGATAGCTAATAACCCAAACAGGCGCGCTGTCGTTGACCCTCCATATTGTGTACATAGCTGTTGCGATGCAGCTGACAAACCAACCAAACCAAATAGCCCAACGGAAATTGTTAAACCGGGTCACAAGGCGGCCAGTTACTATTCCGGATATAGCAAATGTGAGGAGGTTTGGAAGTGTAGCCACTGTAACACCTATTGTCAGTATAGGATTCCTAATATCCTGTAATGACTGATGATAAATCTAAATGCTACTTACCGCCTGCAATAGTCGGAGTAAATTCTTTTACGGACATGAGATAGAACGGACAACTTTTCCTAATGTCAGCGGTATGCTAAATCGGAGATATGGTGGGATTTAATTACTAGTATAATTGCCCATATAACTGCAAGGGCCAGATACGTTAGCTACCATACTCAAACAAAAATTATACAAGAAACGTACCAGGACGCCTTGGAGAAAAGCACCTATATATGTAATTATAGAGCTAATATCCTTGAATAGGGCACTAGGAATGAAAGGGTATTTCGCAATGTACCCTACGTAGAAAGAAGTGGCTATTAAACCGACAATGCCTAGCACGAGAGGAACCAACGTGGCCGCGCTATTCCACGCATGCTATATAGATAGTTAGATGATGTGCCAACCGTTTATGAAGCGAAGTGGTCGAAGGGATTTACATACTTGTGAGCCACCCCAGGAAATTGCAATAAGAAAGGCTGTTGCGGAACCAGTAAAAATAAATCCTCCCAGCCAGTCAATTCTCCTTAATTTCTCTTGAAATGTAGCCTCTTTCGGCCGTAGAGTAAGAAGATAAGGTACGACAACAAGGCCGAACCCGCAAATAGGAAGCATGATATAGAATATCCAGCGCCATGTAGTCCTATCAGCAATGGCCCCACCTGTCACCGGCCCTATTGAGAGGCCTACAGCCCATGCTGCGAGTCTATGAATATTGTTTTTTAGTTTAGATGACTGAAATGCTCTGGAGATCTGCTAAGAGACTTACGTTACGCTATACCACTTCGGTCTCCATCTTAGGGGCACAAAGTCGGTATGAATGACCAAGCCTAAAGAGTGAATACCTCCTCCGCCGACGCCTTGGATACATCTACCCACGATCATCTGCGTAATGCTATGTGCCGTACAGCAGAGTAGTGTTCCTACCGAAAACGCAGCGATCGAAAAGGTAAGGCAGATTGGGCGTCCAATGATGTCGCTGACTGAGCAAATCATCGGCATAGTAACTGCATTGACAAGAAGATATGACGTGGCGATCCAGAAGGCTTGAGTAGTTGTACCCTGAAGTTCACTAATAATCGCCTAATGAATCCCCGTTAGTGAACTCTAGAAGGATATATACTATAGATAAATTTAGTTCTTACACTTAAGGAGGTAACAATAATAGTAGCATCGAGAGAGACGATGAGGTTTAGGAAAGCAAGAGTGTAAATAATGGCTTTTTCGTGCTTCGATGGCTTCCATTCCTCTTCGGCCGGCTTTTGTGTTTCGCTTGCCATTTTGTCTGATGGCCAGTCGACGATAGGAGGTTCCTTCACAACAATCTCCCTGTCTGACGAAGAGGCATTATCAGAACCGGACATCTTGAAATGTGCAAATAGAGTGTGGGTGTTAATAGGGAAAGATAGACAGTCAAGCCAGAATTCCCCCAGGGAATGATTTGGAAGTGAACCACGTATTTAACTCAACAAAGGGGCCGGGTAGCCCAAAGCATTTCCGGATTAATAGGAATAACCATAGGACATAAATAGCACAAATCAAGGGAGGTTAGGATGGTATCAAGGGAGGAATTTGGTACTGGAGTGTAGAAAGCACCTGATAGAATAGGGTAAAGTACGCAAATAAAAGACTTTATGCTTGAAGTAGATAGCACAGATATCGCGGTGAATACCACCCGTATCCATCCGAGTTGGTGTGATATAGGACATTCCCTTTCAGTGCTGACAATATGATTCAGCTAATCATGGACCGAGTATTCGAGGCGTCATATATCCCAAGCTGGCACACGAACATTACTAGGATGATATCTTTAATTAGTAGCATTGAGGCTCAGCCTATAGGTTTAAGTCCTTGGCTTTAATGTAGGTAACTATTGGACACGGTAACTTGTAAGGGAGGGATTGGGGTTGGGGTTGTTTTTTTGTTAGGGTTATTTAGTACTTCACGCTTCTAACACCTTTCATCGTCTTTATTGTTAAGCTTATATCGAGTTATTTTCTATTAGGTTATACTATATTTTCTAATTAATATGAGGGAATACGAGAATCCGTTGATGCTTGTGTATATCATGTATGTGTACCTAAGGTTAAGAACGGTTCTGTGTTTACGAGAAACCCCGCTACAAAAGTGGAATTCGGACCAACAGCAGTAACTTCCTAGGTACCATAGCGGGGGTATGTGGGTACAGGGAACCGTTCCCTATTTAGAAAAACGTTCCCTAAAATGTTTTCATACCATAACAGTTGCCTCGTTCCCTATTGTAAGAATGGTTCTCAAAAAGGGAACGGTTTCCAAATTGTGGAAATTTGTCATTTCACGTGACTTTCACGTGACTTTCACGTAAAAAAGTGGGTAAAAAGTCAAAAAAGTCAAAAAATTAGAAGGACTGGTCCTCGAACCTACCACTTTTACGTTCGTGTAACCATAAACCCCACCATTAAGGTTAAAGTTTAAAGTGTAAACGTTTGAGCTAATGGGACGAGGTGGCCAATTTCATCGAATTATTTTATTGTGAAAATTTTCTTGTTTTTAACCTTTATAACCTTCACTTCCGAAATATTATTTTATTTAAAAAAAAAAACTTTAATGAAAAAAAAAAAAATTTTTTTGTAAAAAGGTTTTTTTCTTTTAAAGTATAGGGTAACCCTTCCCGTACTTAGCCATTTTGACCAAAAAGGGTTTTTTTTCTTTTTTTTAGGTAAAATCGACGAAAATGCTTCCCAAAAAGGGAACGGTTCTATAAGAGGGAATGGTTCTTGGCATTAAGAACATGGGATCCAAGGTGGGTCCAAAAATCCCAAATTTGTACCTATTTATTTTCGGATCCAGCTAATCAAAAGCCTGGAATCAAGGGAACGTTCCCTATTAAGGAACCGTTCCCCAAAAATAACCATTCTCTGAAAACCCCCACCTCCGCTATGGTAGGTAACTACTATAAATATTCATACTCGAGTCAAGTATATCCCACATAATATAACATCAAATAGCCTTTCCTTAAACGAATGTAAATTTTTAAACCAGGCGTGTTTAGCAGCTTAAAATTGTACGTATAACAGTAATTTAGAAGAGGTCTTGGAACATTAAGCGATAAAAATTGTTTCCTATTACATTATTACGAGGCTTTAAATAATGACTTTATTGATGTTGTGTCAGGGGGTTTATACCCAGGTGATTGATATCATACACAGAGTGAATATCTAGGATAGGTAGACCAAAAGGATGAGATATTGAACTAGTAACGCCTAGCTTCTATTCTCTTTCGAGGGCGCTCTGCGCCCTTATATAGTAGATAGACCCCTGTAGGCCTCCTTACCCACTTATACCCTGATATGTTGTAAGAAAGTTGTGAGTAAAATGGGACTAACTCTACGATTTCACTAGCGTAGTTGTAGTCAATGAACATGTTACGAAAGTCTATCACGGTAATCTAGAAATATCATCACTTTATATAATGGATACTATGTAATGATCAATCATCCCAATTAACTCTTTGAAAATAACGATTATTATGTAGTTCATAAGGCAGTAGAATGAAAGAATTGAAAGAAAAGAAGATAATTCATTAAAAATCAAAAACTGATTTTATGGCTTATACATGATTGGTGATTAGGTAGGACTATGAAATGCGGCATTTAGCATTGAAAGAAAAGTCATAAAGGAGCAGCTTGACTAATATAACCAATATTCACCTACTTTATTGAGCTTATGGCTAAAAATCACATTCTCGTTAGCTTAGCTGGATAGGTACTTATTGGAATAAAGGATTGTTGTCTTCTGGTGCCATTTTCACCCAAATTTATTTCTTTGCTTCTATATGGTTTTATCATAAATTCGTATATGGAGGCAATGAATCAGCCATTTAGAGCAGATATTATATATATCTTAACTCCAGAAAAAGGCAATGCCACAAAGGGAAAGGGCATATCCCAGAATAATAAGCGAGAGGTCATGACCACTTCCTGAATTCAATGGCTTCTGTGCACAGTCATCGGGCATGGAAGCACTAGTACCGAAACATTTGAGGACTCCGTTACTGTTGACAACGAGATCGTCTATAAGAGGGCCATTAGCTTAAAAATATGCAACGATTCGGTAGATTAGGTTACTTACTGGTATCCACGGAGGTTGTATAGTAACGATCTTTGAAATGAGCGCGGCACCTACATTGTAAAACCGTTCCATTCACTAGGTGACAAGACCGGCATTTACGGAGGCCACCTCTAAATAGTATTGTTAGTACGATGTGTCAATTTGTTGAGGCCCCAAAATGTGAAAGGGGTTTGGGAGTGGCTTACCCGTCTTGAGGCTTCAGCACGCCATCGTCATTTCCATAGCATTGCCCTAGATCAAGGATTGAGCATTGAGCTTTATTTTCGATTTTACAAGATGCCCTCAGGCCGACATGAGGATCATCTAAGTCGATGAGCGTCATGTTTTGGCAATTCTTGGCATAGCCACCATCTGCGATGGCGTGGCACACGAAAGTGCCTGCGAGAATGAGGCAGGGAGCCTTCATAGTAATAGTCGTTTAAATTTGACAATGAGTTGAGGCAGAGTTGGAAAGCGTATTGATGTGAAGGAGATGGGAATGAAGATAGAAATGGGAAGGGAAATGGGTACTATATTATGGAAAGACGAAGAATATATAGATAAAAATTTAAAGATCTCTAGGTAGGAATAGGATTATACGCGTAATCTGTGTCGAATGGTAGATGGCTTTGAAAGAGTGAGTCTTGAACGAAGCATCTGAGCCTATTAGTATGCTTACAGCTGGATGATACTTACCTAAATCAAGAAGTTAGTCGTACTTAACCATTTTCATTCTTGAAAGTTCCTTCCAGTGACAATACACATGCGATAGATGTCGCACTTTGTCAACATGTTCTTGGACCCCTAGATTATCTTCAGAGTCACAATATAATTATTCCTTAACAAGGGACAAAGAGCCAAGATTTAGCATGTCACCTTTAATATGACCACGCGTAGACAATAAAACATACAATGCCTTTGATTAACAATACGATAAATTGTCTTCGTGCTCCACTCTGTACACGAAGGAGCGTAATATCTCTTTGATGGCTGGTAGAACAAAATCTTCTCCGATTAACAAAGGTTATTGTTGACCTCCGTGAAATATTAGATATATAGGTAGATTTATATTCGACATTAAACATATGCTTCAACTCCAGAGCCTTATATTGGGATAGAGAGTATAGGGTGACTATAAACAAACGACAAAATGTATCATATCTTATTATGCCTGATTCTAGCTTCTGATGCAAAGGTCTTAGCTCTACCATTGCTAGTCGAAAACGGCATTATGACCAGCCTGCAAGATATCAAGCGTCAAGAACCAGTATCAGCGCAGGGCACTTATCTTGATACTGTGGCCGTCGTTGGTATTATTGTTGGTGTCCTCTTTACCTTCTTGTTTGTTTGCCTATTGATTTTGCTTGGTAGACGAGGTTTTGGGTCGAGAGCGAGATAAGGCACGTGTGCTTCTAGAATCGATGCTCATAGTAAAAATTCATATTAAGTAACAAATATATGGCCCCCTTTTCGAGTTATGGATATATCAGGTAGTTTATCAAGTAGTCCTTCGCCGGGCACGTGTCATTTTGAAGTCAGGAGTGGTTTACGTCAATTTACTCTATATTAATACTTTCCATACCCATGTACGAAATGTAATAACTAATTATATATTTACTCCCTCAAAATATGTTATGGTTTCTCGCTATATATTCACTATTAGTTCTTTTTATTCAATAATAGTACATCTTCAAATTTAGACCTCAGGTGTTTCGAGCGACGTTCATACGTTTTTTTCGGCTTATATGAAGACGAATTACCCTTCATGTGAATGTTGTCCCCGACACTACCTAACGTATGAGAATTTCTTAAAATACCTTCTTAAAGACTTTATTGTTTTACAATATCTGAACTATCGAGATAGCTAGGACTAATCAGTTACGATAATAGCGATAAAGCGTGTTAATCGAGGGCATGGTCAATGACAACGAGCCTATCGTAGGCAAGGCAAGGTCACGCTTAGACGTACTAAGACAACGAGAGTTTCACTTTGTCGTCTACTAACCTTACGCTTACCTAATAGGACAATTCTCTGAGGACCAGCTTCCGCCGCCATTCACATAGCCCTATGGCAATGAATATGAGTGGAACCAGGAAACCTATGAGAAGCTCTTACAGCGAACCAAGAACGACACACAACTCCGCCCGGCCTGTGGTACGTGTTCCTCCCATGCACTCCACTGCATCACTCTTTCTTCCTTTTCTATGCCTCTTAGTCTATATCTTTCCTTCCCCTATTCGGCTTGTTCTATATCATCTCCCATCTCCTATTCCTAATCCTTCTTCTCTACCCCCTATTTTACGCCCATGTCATTAAATAGGGCCCCTCCAGGCTAATGCTTGTCATGGTAGCTTTGCCGATGGGTTCTTCTAGAGCTCCGGTATACTGACCTATCGCCTCCGCGAATAGATATAGACAGCTAGAAGCGCTATGTCAAGGCTAGAACGTTAGGGAATATTCATACTAGGCTTCGTAAGAGTGGTCGGGTTGTCGAGGTTAAATTTAGAGGTTCGGTAGATTAGTATATTATCTTCATAGCCTTTAGTGCATGATTTTTTCGGGATTCAATAATTTCATTATTCTTACCATCGATGCATGCTCTGAAAAGGGGGAGAGAACATTGCTTACTGACTTTCTTAGTCTACTAGCAGCGGTAAAAGTCTATGAGAAGAAACCTCTCAAGCTCTCACTCATCCCATTTGTTTCACCCTTCCGTCCCTTCTCCAGGAGAGAAAGTGCTTCCTTAATGGGGGCCTTTACGTGCTTCACACCATCAACGTGCAAACTGAGCAACTCTTCCCGTGTCCGGCCCCACAGATTCCCGTCCCATTTTCTCCGCACCAGTAACACCCCCGTCTTAGCCACATCGTCTCCATCCACGCAGATAAAATAAGTCGTATCTAAGGCTTCGACGAATCGTTTCTCCCGGCAAAACCAAGGAAATCGTCTCACGGCTTCATTGTAGTTCCACTTAATCAAGTCCAGGCGTTCTCCGGAGCGCTCGACCGCTTCGGGCGCATATATCAGTCGCTCTTCGCCAGGCTTCCGTTTCGCAGCGCTAGAATCAATTGAACTAGCGCCAAAACCGAGCTCCTTGTGGTGCGTGTTGTACTGGAAGACGATAAAGACGGGTTGAACGCGCACGTCTTCTGACGGCCAGTCAGCATCACCATTAGCTACGACCAGAAAACGCGTCTGCAGGCCTTCGTAGCAAGAATACGGGATACGGATATGCTGAGTAGTAGTAAGGGCTAATTCCTCCCCGATGCGGTGCAAGTCTGCTTTTTCAGTCGTCCCTGAAAGGCCTGCATCCCATGGCGGCAATTTGACCATCAGCATGCCATTTTCATCAGGGTCTACCGTATCGACGACGAGGATGTATTTCTTTTGAAGATACTGGTTCTTTGCACAGCGCAGGGGGTGTAGGACGACAGCTTGCTGGATGAGGTCCTGGGTTGATGCTGTGTCTGAGGAGAGGGATGCAGGAGTCAATTTGGCTTGGATGCGACAGGCATATTCTTTGGACGATTTGTATTTGAACGCTGGCTCCAGGTCGGCAATAACTTTATCTTCCGGCAAACTCGAATGGATATAAATGGGAACATAGTAGCCTAGGGGAATATTTGCCCTCGGCCTTGGTGGTCCATCATCATCATCATCATCTTCTTCTTCTTCTTCTTCGTCGCCATCTCCATTATCGGGATGGAGCTTATAACCATTCTTTTCTTCGTTCCAGGAAGAATTCCCAATTTGCAGATTCACGATACTTAAGCCGACATCGGCAGCCTTGATGCGAAATGAGTCGACATTGCACTCAAGCTTGTCATCGTCTAACGCTACCAGTATGACCCCTTTAGTCTGCCAGTTTTTCTCGGAGGTGGCGATAAAGTACCTAGGCTCAAACGTGTTTTGCGGCCCCAACTCAAGATGATAGTCAAAGACGGCGCGCAGTGGCTGGCCGACAAAGCGCGACCGTGGGGCAAGACGCACACTGGTACCCGGCTCGCTGCCTATGACAACACACTCAGATTCGCATTCGCGCTCGAGATATCCAAGCTCTACGTCATCTAGGTCGACGAGAGTATAGAGAGCTACTGGATGTAAAGTCATAGGCACATCATGGTAACATGCCATCGATGGTGCCTTAGCGGGCAGGGAAAGGTCTAGGCTATCCAACATCATTTTTCTCAAATACTGAAGATCATAATTGAGCGGTAGCTACGGTCAATGAAAGGAGCTACTGGGCAAAAATCTCAAAAATGTAAATATCTTTTTTTTTTTTTCGCAATTAATCTATCATTTACTTTTATAACCTCTAGATTAGGTATTCCTGTGTAGGTACCCAAGCTCTTAAAAGGTAGCTTGGCATGCTGATCTTCTTTCGTAAGCAAATTTGCTATTGAAAGTACGGTATTAGTGCTGTTTACACAAGTTCAACGTAGTACCCCTAAAGGGGTGCTGCGTATTGATTAAAAAAACGGATAATAATTAAAGATTTAATTAGAATATTTTTATTTAAATATATTTCTTATTAAAAATTAAATAATATTAGTTAAAATAATATTTTTAATTATTAAATATAAAAATTTTAAAATTTATTTATTAAAATATTAATTTAATATTATTAATTTTTAAATTTTTTTAAATAATTAAAAAATTTTTATAATTAAAAAATTATTAATTATTATTAAATTTATTTATTTAAAGGTTTATTTTTATTTAAAAAATTATTTAATTTTTTTAAATTAATTTAAATTATATATTTTAAGATTAAATTTTTATTAATATTTTTTAAATATTATAAAAAAATTTTATTATTATTAATTAAAATAAATTTAGTATTTATAATATTTATTTAAATTAATTTAAAATAATTTAAATATATTAATTTATTTATAATTTTGACTATTGCTATTGGTACACCCTCATTTTGTTATCGGGGGCTTATTGGTACACCCTGTACAACGGGTACATCCCCACCAATTTTTTCAATTAAATTAAATATACCACATTTTAACCTATCCACCCTCACAACCTATTCAATCCAACAATTTAATAAATAAGGCTTACATAGATAGTTTTGCCTCAATTAGGGCTTTCTAATGATATAGGTATCGACAAGATGCATGCCATATTTCAAAAGTTATTCGAATATATATCATTCAATTGAACGCAGATGCGACCGCGCGAAAGGGTATCACGTGGTCTCCCTAGGAGCCACCACCACCACCACCATTATACATACTCGAATAACTCTTGGAATAACGCATGCATCTAATAGAAACTTATATCATTAGATAGCTCTAATTGAGGCGAAACCTTTGATGTAAACTTTATATGTTGAATTGTGGGATTTAGTAAGTTATAAGGGTTGATATATTCGATAAGTCTCTAGATGAGGCTTTGGATGCGGCTCTGCAGGAGGCTCTTTGCGGTCGCATTTATATTCAATTAAATATTCAATCAAATACACACGTATATTCGAATAACTTTTCAAATAACGCATGCATCCAATTGGAACTTATATCATTAGGAAGCTCTAATTGAGGCGAAAATAGCGATATAAGTCTTATATGTTGAAATGCGGGATTGAATAAGTTATGAGGGCTGATGTAATAGGAGTTGAAAATGGGTGGGATGTATTTGAATGTACTGGGTGTACCAATAAGCCCCGATAGCAAAACGAGGGTGTACCAATAGCAATAGTCATAATTTTAATATTTAAATTAATTATTAATTTATAATATTTAAAGATTAATAAAGAAGATTTTAAAAATAAATATTATTAAAAAAACTTTTTTAAATAATAATATTTAATAATTTTATTAAATTTAATTTTTATAATTTAAATATAATTATATATTATATATAATTTTAATATTTAAATTTTAAAAAATATATTAATTTTATTTAATATAATTTTAAATAATTTTTAATTTTTATTTAATTTATAAATAATATATTTTATAATTAATATTTAATTATTTAAAAAAAAAATTTTAAATTAATAAGTTTATTAAATATAATTATATTAAAATTATTTAGGTTTAATTTATTATATATATTTAAAATTATTTTTATATATTTTATATAAGTAAAATATTTTTTTATAAATATATTTTTAAATATAAATATTTTTAATTTCTTTATTAATTATATTA